TTTCTTTTTACAATCACACTTTTACACCCATTAACACTGTTTTTTCTCTTTAAAAATATCTAATTTTTTTTTTCATTCATAAAAAAAAAAAAAAAAAAAAAAAAAAAAAAAAAACATATTTAGGAAATGTCTGTTGCATTCGTTGTAGAACATCTTGCCTTCTTTTTCTTCTGTCTTTTCTGCACCTAAGTGCTACAGCTTCCTGTTCTTTTAGTCAAGTTCTAGTCTGAGAAGATGCACTTTCGCAGCTATAGTGTGGAACTCCTATAGTCCGCGCTTCCTGCATGTAGTAGATAACGATAAAGGAATGATTTGATTTCTCAACCACAAGAGTCATGTTTTCTGTAGAGTATTGGTTCTTTGTCAGACCAGATAATGGAATATACTTTAAATTTGATCGCTGAGAGATCAGTAGTTAGAGAGTCACTTAAAGGTATGTATGAGAAAAAAGAAGAGGAAGTGGAGCGGTAGTGAGCTCGGCTCGGCTCCTTAGAGCTTCAAAAGAAGTGAGGGCATTACGGTTTGGGATAGTAAAAGTTGAGCGATCACTGTACTCCTCTTTGATTGTCTAAAATGCTTGTTTTCTTTACGGCAATAGCTGGTCCGTTTATTAAACTCAGCTAGGAGCCAAAAACAGGGCTATCTGAAGATTTTATTATGTTTGAACTTCTACTAACAATCAGGTATACTATGGACTATATTTTTCCACCGACTCTTTGGACCCTTTACTCCAACGATGAGTGAGTTTTTGGATATACCGTACCCAATGGCTGATAATATGACTGATTTAGACACGTTGATAGACGAAAGGATAAATTCATTAATCAAGAAGGTATTCCAAGAGACATCGCCTTCACTTACAAGGACGGCTCAGAGAGGTTCAGGAGGAGGTAGTGGCTCTGTTGACGATAGGATCAAGACTGGTCAAGTTATGATCCAATTCTATGACGTAATGAAGAAACAGAAAAGGAAAAGTGGATGGTTCGGACTGACGAAAGAAGAAAATGAAGAGCAAAAGATATGGGAATCTTGGATAATTAATGTCAATTGCATTCCGATCGATGAGAAATCAAGTGGCAATGGTGGGAATAACCAGCAGCTGCTACAGCAACAGTCAAAGAATGATGCGGACACCAGTAGCAGATCTTCTGCTATAGATATATCTATAACATCGTTTGAGGAAAATCTTCACACAATAATCGATATTGCTGATGCTCACAAGGACCATATCCCACCCATAATGTCATTGGAAAGCTCTCCTTTTCCCTACAGTATAGATGTGGGAGAAACGATATCAAGGGGAGCGAATTATACTACTACTGAGGAAGAGAGTTGGGGAAAGTACATCAAGAAAATGTTGGATTGAGTCCCGTTATTCTGATGCTTATTGGTATGCAGACTAGTATTCTGCCTACTTTGCGGAAGGAAGACCAAAGGTGGTACTAATTGAGTCCTGACATCAAAGTTAAGTGTATTTCAAGGCAGAGCAGAAACGGCAGAGAAGAAGGTCAGAAGCACACTTACACACATATATATATACGAAGAGAGAGAGAGAGAGAGAGCACAGCAGTCCTTGAAGGGCGGCGGATTCAATTCCATACACCATCGTTTCATCATCATAAATTATATAAATATATTTATTCCTAGAGGTTTGCTGTAGCACTATATAACCCTTCCTCGCCTCTTACCAAGATACATTCATCTTCGTAGACGACCAAGTCCAGCAATCCGATTTCTTCAGCAGTATCGAGAACTGTTTGATCGTAAGATCCTGGCTGGAACCACAAACCCTTGATTACAGACTTGTAGTCTGGAACCGAGGCTATCTCTTTCAAGGTTGAGGTAGTAATGTGTGGGGGAGTCAAGAAGGAAACACTGAGGCCATCTTTACCAGAAATGTCGTGCGATTCACCTACCTTCGAAGAAGAGCTAGTGAAAGCTTTAATAATGTTAGTTATAGAAGGAACAACTTCCTTGTCCAAAATTTCTGTAGCATTAGGGTTAATTGGGATTACTGGTAAATCGTGGCTCACGTACCACAGAAGAATTTTAAACCCAAACTTGGATGGGTTGTTTGAAGCACCAGCAACAGCGTACTGTCTTGAGACAGAAAAGAACGACTTAATTTTAGTTTTCATAGACATCCTAGCCAAGCGTAATAATAACTATAGTTTGTTCCTTAAGAAAAGAGGAGTGATTAACTGACTTGAATAGTTCCATTAATAAGCACACCAGTACTATTGGAAAATCCGGGGAAACTTTTTTTTCCTCACCATCGGCGTGTAAATTGAAGTTCGTAGGGGGGACCCTTTGGAAAACGTGATTTCGAGCATTTGGTGCCAAAATGGACTTCATTTTTTTTTTTTTTTTTTGGATTCTTCACTATCGCAAATTCGTGAGATCTTGTCGCAGCTTCATTAGAAGGCAGCTTATTGAGTTGATTGGACTGGATAATACCATACTTGAGTACTATTTTTGGCTATTCTCTTTCATCCGGTGATCCCCTGAAGTGCTTGTTAAGAGGAGGAATGCCAGAGAAGAGGACAAAGCCTTGTTCTAGTTGTAAAAAGACTAAAGTCAAGTGCATTTATACCTCAGGTCTTCCCTGTGAAAGATGCATCAGAATAGGCGCACCACTGAAGTGCCAGTTCATACCTAAATTACCCTCATTATCGCTACCACTGCTTGGTGGGAATGAAAGTAGTACCAACGGGCTACTCAGATTGGGCCAGCAAAGACAGGAAAATTTTATTCCAATACCGACAATTCTGTCACACAATCAAGCTAATTCAGCGCACCAACCACCCATACATACCAATGTTCCCTCTTCTTCCTTATCCCGAACACCCATACAGTCATACAACTCCTACGATGCTCCTGAGCCATCGAACGGGATGTGGAAAACACAAATGGAAAATAAAATGGCCTCCTTCGATAATAAATTGAATGACTTGGTGGATATATTGAAGATCAACCAGAAGATGTTGCTAGACAACCAGGCGCGATACGACCAGCTGCAACAGCATATGCATTATACCCAGCCACAACACCATTCATACTATAGTTTACCGCAGACAAGGTCTCAGACTCCACAGCCCATACCACAGACCCATCTTCCTCAGTTGGGTCTCCCTTACACACCAATGCAGTATACCCAAACTCCTCCGACTGCCCATCTCTCCCAAAATACTGCTGAATCACATAAGAGGTCGTATCCCGAGAACGATACTGTGAATTCTTCCTCACAACTTGGTTCTAGAAAGAGGCTCAAAGACGTAGCCAAAATCTCCCGAGAATCTACAGAAATTATAGAAAATTCCGATTTTAGAGACAATCTTCTTCTGAAAGATGAAGCTTTATTACTTTTCAATTTCTTTGATGAGAATATCACTCAACAACTTTTTGGGTTTGAACTATCGAAGTTCCCCATATCAGAGATCTGGGAATCATCCCCTATCCTTGTTTGTACAATCTGTACAATCTCATCAATACATCACCCCAACGTTCAGCTTTCCAGTAAGCAAAACAAATTGAAACAGCACCTTCACAAATTATGTGGAGAACTTATATACATGGGGAGACCGAAAAGTGAACTCGAAGGTTTCAACACGATAGTAGCATTAATATTGTGTAGTTTCTGGCTCACAGACTCTCAAATGTTCACCGGTTTGGCTCTTCAAATTGCCAAAGAAATTGGATTAAGTCCCTCATCTCCAAATTTTGTTAGTGGTAATAGTAGTGGTGAGAAGGAGAAAAATGGATTAAGTAAGAAAGATAAGCTAAAGCTATGGTACTTGTTATACGTACTAGATGGACAGCAGAGTTTGACCTTTAATAGACAACCCTTGGTCAATTCTAACGACTATAGCTTAGTGAATGTGAGAGGTCTATTAGTTGGTGATAAAGATAAAACTATTAAAGAGAAAGAGATCTCAAATGATGGCACCAATAAGAATGGCTCTTTAGTCAAGATAACAAGTCGGCTTTCGAAAGATTCACCTCCCACTCCCGCTGTGGCAAGTGCTTCCACTGCTTTTACAGATTTAAGATTAGTATCCCAGGTTGAATATAATCAAGCATTGAATGAAGCGTTTAATGGGGATGCATGGGATCTTTTAGCTCCTTCTTCATTCGGAATACCTTCAAAGTCCAACCTTGAATTGGATAAGTGGATGGTGTCATGGACTGTTTTGCTTTCACCAGTGAATAATGGAGCAGTATGGTCATCAAAATCTACATTAATCTATTACAACTTTGCAAAGATGCACATCAATTCTAAAGCAGTACGGCAGCTTCAGTTTCATACTTCAGCGGATGGTAATATGTTGCCAAAGTGGAATGCTAGCGAAGACAGTAATATTGAAAGGAAAATAGAATCTTTGGGAAACGTTAAGAGAACATCGACGAAGGTACCTAATTCTCCTGATAGCGAAGAGGATAGCGAAGAGAGTGATGATGATGAAGACGAATTCATTTCTAATAAAGAATTAGTATCGGAAGATGAATCCGTGCTTGACGCTACTATTGCAGTTAATGCAGCCAGTACCGTAATAAATCTAGTTGTCAATGATAACGATATTCTAAACAACTTAAAGTATGTGCCAGTTCACATCCATATAATGCTATACTATGCGGCTTTACTACTAATTAACCCGCCTCTGCAATCCGATAACAAATTAGTACAATATTCGCCTGAAAAATATTATGAGAAGGTATTGACGAACTTGAAAACAGTAAAAAAGCTTCAAAAGAAAATCTACTTGAATTTACCAATCGATAAGAGTTTTGGTAATAGACTCATCAATAGTTTAGAAGAGGTTTTTGGTGAGAAGGTAAGCAGTTTGAAGAGAGGAATTCTTTCTAACTCAGAGTTAGACTCAGACGTGAAAAGTCACCTTGCTAATGAAATCAATAGGTTCATTGAATCTGATGAGTCTAAAGTAGGAGATGAATTTCAATCAGATGCTGATCTGTCAAAAAGTGCAAGTCCTGCTCCTGAAAAGATATTTGCATGGCCTGGCTCAAATCACGGGCACCCATCGGTGGTAACAAAAGACGTTTCTTCCATAAATGAATAAAAATCATTTTCTTCAATTTGACTTGTTATATAGCACGATTAATAGAATAATTTTAACAATAACTTCATATACGTAAAACTATATACATTCTGCAACCATTTTTGGCTGCGAAAAATTAAGCCCGAAAACATTTCGGTGATGATGGATAAGTATTGTCGAAGTAAGCTCTACTCCACAACTATATAGAAAAAGTCATTCAATGTTCTTTGGCTGATACATAATGATTATTTAGATGTGCATCTCCCATAATCACTCTTCGTATTTTCGAACTATTTTGTTATTGTACAAACACCACAAATGCCTACATAAGTAAAAATTTAAATTAAAGAATCTTGGGTTCTCTCGGGGAACCATTTTTTATAAAGATTATGTTGGAAAATAGGGGCCCTGGTTGGCAGTATATTAAAAAGGTCTTAAGATCAAGCACAGACGCTGAGGATAAAACTATTGATCCAGAATTTGATAAAATGGTAGAGGAGTTCGAACTAGTAGTCCAGCAGTTCAATGTATTGAATTTAAATTGCAAGAACTATGTAGATGGAGTTCAAAATCTCTTAGCTCTTGGCCAGAGCATTGGTATCTTAATAAAAGATTTGTACAATCCTACTTTGAAAGTAAAAGATAGTCATTTTTACCAACAAACGCCCGTGATTGAAGAAGAATTAGACCTTTGGAAGGAAATCGGAGCTTTTAGCGATTTAATTTCCAATGTGGAGCTCTCAATTAGAGACGAAATAGAATGGCTACAGTTTAAATGTTCTTCTACAGTCAAGGAGGTGAAGCTAATTGCCCAAAATATTGCATCTTATTCCATGAGGAAGAGAAATAGGGCTATTTATGAATTAGACAGTAGTAGAAGAAAGTTAGGCCAATTTAGTAGTGACACACAAGGTGAATTAAGCCTGAGACAGCAAAAGGTTCTACAACACTATGAAGAAGAATTGGAAAGGAATGAAGAGACATACACCTCAATCAATGTGCTTTTGAAATTAGAATTGCCTATTTTCTTCGAGTTGGTAAATCAGGTAATGGAGCTTTTTCAACAGGTTGCATATTACATACAATTGATGGTTGTATATCAATTTAAAAATAATATTTCTAATGAAACCAAGGATCTTTGGGATCTCGACCGAAAAGTTAATGTTAAGGCATTCAACTATCAGCTTCAAGCTGCAATCGATGGGGCGAAACAACTAAAGATAATTAAATTCAGGGATAACTTTTTCTTTGATTCTCTAATGAGTCGTCCAGCAAACGAGCTGAATAGGATGTGTGAAGCTATCTTTTCATTTGAAGCTCAAAATGAGGGGGACCTTACAATCAAGAAGGGAGACATCATTAGCCTTCTAGATACGAAGACTTATTGGTACAAGGGCACGTTAGACGGCAAAGTTGGAATATTTCCTTATAATTACGTAAAATTCATTAATTAGCTATATGAGCAAATACTTGCTACAGTTACACTGTACCCGTTGTTTAACTTCTAATAATCGTTGAAAGTTTTCACTTCCCACTTTTTTAAGCATCTTTCGCTACAATACTCTCTTCGTATGGGTACCAATTTATTTCCCAATATATCCCACCACTCTAAAGATTCAGCTAGAGGTTCCACAACAATCAAGTCACATTCACTACATGTATTTTGGTATTGACCATTTACAATTGCCTTTGCAATAAGTGCGTGATACAACTTTGGAGTGTACTTCTTCCAGTTTTTTGTTTCTTGGTATGAAACATCATATTTTGCAACTGAATTCAAACAAAATGCTTTAAGCGATGGTGGCGCATTTGAAGTCAGTTTCATTCGCCTTGGTTTAGACGCAAACCTTTTATTTCTGTTCACATTTAGTGTAGCGTTTACCATTTCTATTGCATCTTCTGGAACTGAAATAAATGGGTTTGGTCCAGTCAGCAACACACTCAATTTGTCTAATTCAAGAATATTAGATGGTAGCCATTTGAGCCTGTTTGTTCCAATGTACAAATCCGTTAAATTCCTAAGCTGACCTATTAGTTTTGGAATTTGGGTTATTTTATTCAGACGGAGAGCTAAAACGTTCAATTTGGTGAACTTAAACAATGATGGTGGAAGTACTCGTATTTTATTGTTTGTAAGGTATAATTGATAGGAGATGTACGATGAGGACGAAGGATTGGTATTAAACACAACCAAGTCATCAAAGTCCTTTATCTCCTCTGGAATTTCCTTTAAATGCATGCCTTCAAGATTAATCTTAGTCTGGATATTTTCAAATGCCTGTAGGACGATATCTCTGGCTTTTAACTGGTTGATTCGGTCGTTTTCTCTCACCTTTTCTCGTCTATCGTCGTCTGTAGAGAAGAAAGCCGGAGCACGGAATCGGTTGAACCTGTCAATACCAAAATCAGCATCTGAGCTCAAATGCTTCAGTACTTTAACTATTGGCCCATTGCTGCTCAACTGAGTTGAAGTGATCGCGTCGTTATCTACATCGTTGTCATTCGGATCAGAATCATCAACTGAATCATAATTGTCGTGCTCGTTGCCGCTCATCCTATGTGGAGAGTCGGGCATTTCGAAGTTTTTGGTTGAAAAGTCAAACTCAGATGCAAAATGATTTAATGAAACCAATGGTGGGCTACTGGGAGGAGCCATTTTAGAATTTCCAAAGGTAAACGAATCCACTCTAGTTACTTCGTTCTCAGAACCTGCATCAACATCCGTGTCGGTTGTTGCGGTGGAATCGTATATTTCATCGTCAACTTCTCTTCTTTTGATATCGTCTCTTTCACTGAACGATTCGCCTGGCTTTCTTTTTAAACTAGGAGGTCCTAGGCCTTTCAACAATGGCCTAAACGGGGGAGCCGTCGTGGCATTTCGAGTATGGTACATACTCTCGGCATTTTCATCACGAATTTTCCGATCTCTTGGGGTCGTATCGAGCGCAATTTCTGTTGACTCTGAACGCGTGAATGCAAATGGAAGCAACGGATTTTCCTTCATGACCTTTATCTAAAAATGAAGAGCAGTAGATCGAAAGAAGCCATTTGAAAGAAGCCTAAGTCCAAACACATCTTCACATTGGGGGTTATGTATTCCTGCAGGTTAAGCTCTCGTATTTGTTTACAGTTTGTCACACGCGATGTTAAACCGAGATCGCATCGCGCGCCCTGGAGGTGCAGGTAAGTACTGTGGAGAGGTTGCAACCCAAATGCAATGGAGTGCACTACAAGCCATATGAGCAGAATAAGGCTGCCTGCGTATTAGCCCTGTCATCGTTTGTACTTACTACACTTCTCCTTACATTCATTTCTTAAATGAGTATTATCTATAATTTAATTTGGTATAACACTCTTATTCACACCATCATACTTAAAATGGACCAGCATTTTGAGTGACAGCAATATTCCAACAATCAAGCAATAATAAAGAATTAGCAAAATAATAAAATTAACATAACAGGAATATTAATAGTAATAAATTATCTTAAATAACGATTTCAATGACATTTTGATATGGGCCCGCAGTAACGAATGCTGATTTGGTTTGAGCATTAACATTCAATTTCTGTGCAGGTATTTTACCTGGGTATATATGTGCGTTCTTACATTGACTGACGTCGAGGAAGTATAAAGACAGACATCCGGATAAGATACTATCAATTCCAGCTCTAGTTACTCTAACGCAACCTTTCACCACCAATTTTTCCAAATGCTTCAAATGGAGAGATATCTTGACCAAAGAGGCATCACTGACTGCACTTCCGCAGAACGATAAATCTAAGGTCCTCAAGAACGGGCATCCTAAACACAAGACTTCAATAGCTGCATCACTTAATGCACAGCAGAAGTTTAAGTTTAAGTGTTCTAGATTCTTTGCAGCAGATGCAATGGAAGATATAGATTGATCAGTCAAAAATGTGCAATCTTTGAGGGATAATTCACGGAGCTTGGGAAATTGAACATAAGCCCAATAACTGAAGCCACGATCAGTAATTGTGGTGCATCTAGTAAGATTTAAAATTTCCAAAGTTTCACTTGCGTGAATGGAAATGTGATACATAATCCCATCTGTAAGATGCTTACAATATCCCACATTTAATCTCTTCAAGTTTTTGCAACCAATTGACAAGTCAAAACTATCATCGCTCTCATGGAGTCCGTGGTGGCCGTGATGGCCATGTAGCTCCTTTGGTGGCATGACATTCTTATTCCATCCGAATAATCTTTCCATGACGTTATCTCTAACTTTTCTGCAATTTGATAAATCTAATTCTTCCAAGTATTTCCCGACACTTGGCACTGACAAATCCATTATTGCCATTGCACTAACTTCCCAAATAGAACTCATTCTCAACACTTTAATCAGTCCCAGGATTCCAACCTCATTAATCATATAAGAAAATCCTTCATCAGTGATATGGAAACAATTGGATATATCTATTATTTTTGGTCTTGCTCCAACGAAATCAGTGATATTAATAAGTGATTTGTCATCTATGGAAGTGTTCCATTTTGTTAAATCTAAGACCTGAAATAAGTTGGGAGCAAAGTAAAGTAATTGCCTCCATCTCCTACAAACAATTCTTGCTCTCATTAACTCTGGTAGTGTCAAATATTCGAAAACCTTCAACAAGAGCGAATCTGATATAGTTGAATTACGCAATTTCGATGGCTTTTCAATCCCACCAATGCTAGCCAATCTAGCTCTCTTGTGATGCGGCAAATACTTAAAGAGATGACCCTGATGATGATGTTGGGATTCGTGAGGTCTAAACTTATTAATCGAAGGTATTTGAGGGTTAAGTGGAGGTAATGATAGATTTATAGGTTTCTGTGTTTGTGTTTCATCATTTTCCTCTTCTAAAGGGGTAGTCTCAATCTTCCTTTTACTTGCCCCTCTAGATAACGGTACCCTTTCCAGGGCAATTGACAGAATAGGCGAATTAGGAATATCAATATCATTCATAAGAAAATTAATCGATAGCCTATGGCTATCTGTTTTGCTCATGTTTAATGCGTTTCTCTCGCCTGCAGTTTTCCTCATCTCCTCAATTAGGAATGGATAAGTTTTGCAGATTTCTTCTAGTTTATCATGCCTAACGACAATCAACTCACAGTTCGAAATGGTTCTAATATTTGCACTTCTCCTTGCGTCTATCTTGGAATCACAATCGTTGGCATTCTCGCTATTCAATCTCAGAAGGAAACTCATCTCTCCAAAATAACTTCCATATCCCAATCTCGCGAGACACTTCTCGTAGTTTGCATTAGAATTATGAACGTCGATTACTTCAACTTCTCCAATAATAATGAAATAGATATCTGAACCAATATCATCCTTTCTAAAGATATACTCAAATGGTTGAAATGATAATGGTTCCACACCAAGAGCAAGCTGATGGATGATATTTGAAGGGAGATTTTGGAAAATTGGCAAAGATTTGATGAATTCCTGAATAGAAATTGTAAAATCAACATTATCCGTTGTCTTTGGATCAGAACTAGAATGGCTGTCATGGTCCGAATGTTTGATAGGTGGGATTGAAGGAGCAGGGGTCAGCGGAGATAAAATTGAAGAAATAGATAGTGGTGTACTCTTGCTGTTCCTACGCGATAAAGTTGGTAGCTCGTTTGACAAATCAATCACTGGCAAAAGTGGACTTTCATTATATACATTGGCCCTCAAGTTTGAGCCTACGTTCGGATTAGGATTTGGAGTTGCCCCGTTTTCAGCCGGGAACGAAAAGCCGCCAAAATTCTTGTTAGCACCAGGCATGCTATTGAAACTTACAACTGGATGGTTAGGGGCTGGAAAGACTTCTTTAATCAACGGTGAAGGCACACGGAGTAAAGGACTAGCACCACCACTCCCAATTGGCATGATATTGGCCAAATTGGTTCTCGATGATCTACTTTTCTTTTCCAAAATGGCCAATCTCTCTTGCGCTTCATCTCTAATTCTTCTCTCAATCGATGGATACTCTGGCAAGACCATGTTAAGAGACTCACTGGTTAAGACTCCCAAAAGAACCTTTGTCTTTGCAACTACGGTAGCAGTCCTTGGTCTATTGAAAAGGATCCCGATTTCTCCAAAGAATGCACCAGGAATCAATTCGGCGTAAATGGACTCACCATCTGTGGATGTTACTGCCACATTCCCCTTGAGAATCCAATACATAGACCTTGCTGGATCTCCCTTTTTAATGATGAAATCTTGAGCGTGATGTTGTATAAGTTTCAATTTGGACACTATTCTAGTGTGAAATGATTTTGGAGCATGTTTGAAAAGAGGGAACGAACGAAGCTTGTTGAAGAACCCTGGTGGGACCGATTTCGTATAGTTTGAAGAAGGTGAAGGGGATAGTATGATCTTCTTTCGATTGGATGCGACATTAGCTACGGTCAGCAGTTCATCTGTTGCTTCTGTGTGAGATGATGGCGACCCAGCATTTGCAGAGTTGGTATCAAAATTGGTCGAATAAGACATGGGCGATTGGGATCTGGAAGGTATTGGAGATATCATTGGAGAGGGTGTTATTGAAGTGCTGGATATAGGCGGTGATGCAACTGAAAGTGAATCGGCGTCGTCCTCATCTTCATCTATGTCCCTTTCAATTTCGATGTGAGCATCTTCTCCCTCTTCCTCTTCCTCCCCTTCCTCCTCTTCATCGCCATATTCGTTCTTTCGGTGCTCATTTTCCTTCTCCATTTGTTGCCGTATATATCGCTGCCTACTTTCGTGCGATATTATAGATGAGGGTTCGGAGGGGTTGTACGGAGACATGTCACTGCTAGAGCCTGCCGAACTCGATGAAGACACCAGCGATATCGAAACATGATGCGGAGTTGTTTTCCTGTTGTACGAGCCTACGTCATCTGTGGATGATAATGGAGACGGCCTTGAAGGTAGAAATTGTGGATTTTTCGATGTGTTCCTAATATGCATAATCCCAACTGTTTATAAGATAAATGTTTGGCGTAAACGGACTATTGTTCAGCTTTAGACGGTGTCAGGAAAAAGATACTCGAGTGTAGGAAAAGCCAATGATGAAAAGCTGAAAATGTATAAAAGAACCTCCAGAGAAAATAATCGATAAAAAAAAAAAAAAAAACACTATGAAAATCAGAATAAGCAAAGAAAAAAAAAAAAGAAAAGAGAAACCAGAAACTAGCACAGGGAAAGGAAAGCAGCTATTTCTCAAGTGGGAGTATACGAAAGAGCAAGAGTAAAGTACCTGTAGGTACCTCAATATAGAATGCGGGTGCCATTGTTTGGAGTATTGACGTTTGCGTTGTGTGTAACCCTCTTCATTTTTGACGCAAGGAACTAGTCGTTTAATAACATAGACCTAGGTGTGGGACTTTTCGGTAAGCTGAGCTTCCACCAGCATTTCAGCCTATTGTGAAGATTTATAGTTTTAATTATTTTTTAGTGCGCATAAAGACGTTAGATTAAACAAAAGAAAAAAATCTCACTTACAGGATAGGGGGCTAGAAGGTAAAAAGATCCGCGAGTAGAATCTTCTGTGCCTGGTGTGGGACTTTTGGATTCGACGAGACAAGAAAAAAATACCTCACATTCTGGTAGTGGAAGTGGTAGTGGATTGAGGAGCAAGGTACATCTATGTTTTGACATTAAAGTAGTCTTTTGAATAGACAAATTTCATCCCTCGCAAACTCACCAGTCCGTGCACTTGAGATTAGTTATCGCGAAAGGCTCCAGCAGTGTATTCCAGGCATTTCCTATTATTTTTTTAGTTTATTTTTTTTTTTTATTTTTTTTATTTTTTTGACAGAGAAGGATTTACTTCTCCATTTGTGTGTGGTTGCTTAGCGCTAATGTGGAAGCTGTGCAGGAAAACTCCACCATAGAAGAAGAAACCTTCACCATGGAAATGCATCAACGATCTGGTAGTCCCAGAAGGGAAACCTGGCCAGGTGTATGCTTTAAGTGGGGCTATAGACTTCTTTCCTCGGCTGATGTAATGACTATGCGATTGGGCGAGTTTGGGCGAGTTTAGAGGAATTGTGTTAGTATTGATTTTTTATTAACGGATATTCTCTGTACCATCTCCCATGTGAATATCGAACAGTAGGAGATGGTAAAGCAGGTCCACATCAGGGAAGGGAAGTGTGAAAAAATAAACTACAATGGTTGGAAAATAAGGGGAAGGCATCATAAACTACGGAAAAGAGAAAATACCGTGTTCTCTGCCTTATTTCATTTCTCTATCTCTTCCCCCTCAGTCATTCTCCGACACCACGATTGTCTTTTTGAGCATTATGCAACAAAACGGGCATAAAATACCTTCACTTACATACGGATTGTCGAATATATTGAGAGGTCAATACATTGGAGTAGTGGGACGCCTCGAGCCCCAAACGAATTTCACTTCTCTCCGAAAAAGAAAAGAAAATTAAGCTCTAAAATCAAAATCGAAACTCGTCAAATCACGTATTGAGGGCCATTGGACAAAAACCCTTTCTCTCGACTGTGTAGGTATCCGCTTCTCCTCGCCGCTCTGTAAAATAGAACCACACTAGAAAATATTGATTTAAAAAATATAAGAACATTGGTAAAGCTCGATTTGGAATTTTGAGAAAAGTAATGAAAAAACAAAGAAGAGGGAAAATAGCACTACCCCATCATTCCTGCTTTCTGCACTCTAATTAGGTTCTTCTTCTTCTTGTAGAATGTTCTAACGCGACCCTAAGCTTCTAGTCATGTATACTTGTAGTAATTTTTCAAGAAAACCCTTCACTATCTTGGTTGCCATCACTACTGCGTCGTATTACCTGGTGCTGTTCCTCACTTTAAACTTCCATGAACTTACACACGCGCACGCGCCATCATTGGAATGTTTTTTCTGCTTTCGGCGCCTTTGTTCAGAGTCATTTTGTGGGGAAAAATTTTTTATTTTCCTTATAGTCACAATATACAAAGAACAATAGTTGATTTAGATATTTTGCTTTTTCTTGATCCATAGATATAGACCTATATATATCAAGCGGTAGTGCACGCGTTCTCTCGATAGCTGAATATATAGATAGATAGATAGATATATTATATTGCTTTTTGACTCAACTGTACTGTATCGAGAAAAGCAGCCATTAACATGTCGGTTTCAGTCAATCTAAATGAGCACACGCTCAGCATCCCAAAGCCACTACACACATGTTTTTCATACTTACTTGAAAATGGGGACATTGAAGGAATATTTAGAGTAAGCGGATCTGTTAAAAGAGTTAATCATTTCACTAAGGAATTTTTAGCAAACCCAGATCTTGACTTGAATAAGTTAAAGGCAGGAAGCGATGAGCTCGTATTTACTGTCCACGATATCGCGACTGTGTTTAAAAGACTTTTATCAAATTACTTGAAGGGTTCAAATTCAGTAATAGTGGATAACTCAGACCAATTAAGTCAAATACAGCAGGTTTGCCAAAAGTTCACTGGTTCACCGGTCACTTTAGTGAGGAAAACATGCTCTATTCTTGACATTTCTCACAACAATACCAATATTTTACTATACTTGACTTGCTACTTGAAGAAGATGTCAAAATTAGACAAGACGACTCATATGAACATTTTTAACTTGGCAATAATATTCCAGCCTCATTTCTTTAATAGTGAGTTGATAAATGATCTTGAAGACTTAAAGAAGTTCAGAAATGCTATAGAGGCATACATAGAGTATTGTGACATATTGGTAGAGGAATTAGCACGACCCATCGTTCAACCAACGGTAAAAGTGAAAATAGTGTCAGTCATAAAATCAAGTCCAGCAGTTGAAATTGTAACCATTGCGACTGAGAAGAAACCTGCCTTATTGAAAAGGGCGTTTTCAATGAGCGTCAAAAGATTAAAACTGTAAAGACGGTTCTATAAATTTAATAAAATGGTAGACAAAATGGGTTATATAATATGGTCAAATAGAAAATTTTCAAGGTGTGTGTCATTTTTATTTCTTGGGTGGGTTTTGGTGTACATATATTCTCTTGTGTTTCTTCCGGATAAGAGGCAATAGGAGTGCTTTTAGGATATAATTTCGTAGATAACATTGATAAACGTGTAGAATAGAAATAATATTTATCCGTGGATAGCATCGATACACATGTAGACGAGAAAGTATAATTTATACGTTAATGAACTTGACCTGTTACATTATAGTCTTCTGATCTACCTACTCATTTGCAGGCTCTGAACCAAGTTGCAATATGTGAGAAGAAAAGTCGTGTCCTCCACAATACCACATGACTTGAAAAAAAATTGTAGTGAAAATTGAAGAAAACGAAAACCACGGACAAAACAGCATTGCAGAGTCCCTAGTCTTCCGCCTAAAGTAACTAATTCCTTTCTTCCTAAAGTAATTCTTTTCGAGATGTTGAAGACCACTATTAATTTGTCTTCTCATAGAATAAAACCATCCGTGATAGAACGTTTATTTTCCACATCACCAACCAGTAGTTATGCCGCTGCTCATTCATCGACTAATAAGGAAGCAGACGCTAAGAAGAAATTGAAGAAATTTCAAAAGTTGAAACTCCAACACCAAAGCTCTCCACGTAATCATCCCTTATATATGGAAGTTCCGCAAGCTTTGAGATACTTAAGAGCTTCTTCTGTGGGCCAACCTGCCTCCCAAGCTATTATATCTATCTTGATGACTGTAGTGCCAGACAGGGGCTCCAAACCTTTGAATGGATCCATTTTTTTCCCCAAGCCATTGAAGGAAACCAGAATTTTAGTTTTCACTGCACAGGAGTCTATCAAGGAGCAGTGTAAAGAAGCGGGAGCATTTGCAGTAGGAGGGGCTGATTTGGTGGAACAGATCAAAAATGGTTCATTTTCACTTGACGGTATCGATAAGGCATTTGCTACTCCAGATATGGTGCATTCGTTAACACCTCTTGCCAGAACCTTGGGTGTTAAGGGATTAATGCCAATGATTAAAAAGGGAACTGTGTCAGAAGATGTGTTAAATTTGATTAAGGAAAATTTGGGATCATTACCTTTTAAGCAAAAGGGAATGCATGTAGCTGTCCCAATTGGTAGATGTGATTTCACTGACAAAGAAATAATCTCAAACTTGAAGGCTGCATCAAGTGCCATCTTTGGTGCGCAGCCTGCAGGAACCAAGAAGCCCAATATCATAGGCCAAACAGTACTCAACGCCACTCGTGGACCGGGTATTGTTATTGATTTTAGACAATAAATGTAAATAAAGTAATGTAAATAGTTAATCAACGGCAGATAAAATGAAATAGAATAATAAAGGAATATTAATAGATGTAGAAAAGAAATGGAAAATATATATAGATGCATTCGGTATAGTTAGAACTATAAATTCAAAGTCAGATCTGAAAATAATTTGGCATAGGATTCACCAAGAAATTCATGGATATTCAGAGTTTGCATCGATCTACCGTATCTCCTAAACGCTTTTCTACTAGCTTCTCTAACCAATGTAGAACCTGCAAAGCAGGCCAATAAAGTCAACTCATCTGAAGTCAAATCGTCATCTCTGTCACCCCATAATTTATTTTCATAATTTTTAGACCATATCAAGAAAGTACCAATTGTTCCTGTTAAAGTGTCACCTTGGCCACCCACTCTTCTCACCAGGCCCTCACTGTCATTGGAAATTGCCAAATCTCCCTTCACGAACATATCTTCGCCACCTTTCCTCACTATGGTTACTCCTCCCAATTTGGTTGACAATGCCTTCGTAACATCTAGTGGCGACAATTTTTCAAGGTCTACATCCCCCAAGACTGCCTTGACTAACCTTTCAAACTCCACTACATTGGGGGTTATTATCGCCTTGGGGTAATTGGCAATTAGCTTGGGCTGTTGAGAAACTAGGTATAATGCATCAGCATCCAAAATAAGGGGCAAATTCAACACTTTTACTTCTTCGATTATTCTAGAAAGCGTCTTTAACATCAATGGATCCCTTCCGAAACCAGGGCCTATGATTACTAAGTGTATTCTATTTAAAAGAGATATGACTTTGGGTAACACCGAATCTTCAATAATTGAATTGAAGTTAGCATCGTCATCAGCATAATGAGAACTATCTAATAAGTACGGATGTACCATAAGATCTGGCAGGTACGACTTAATTACTGTTGCTGCATTTTTTTCACATATTATATGGCTCAAATCGCAGCCAACTAAAGCAGCAGATTGCGCAGAGAAAAATGGAGCACCAGTGTAATCTTCACAACCCCCAATTACTGCAATTCTGCCGGCCTGGCCCTTATGAAAGTTGGAGAAGAGGGGTTGTACGATCTTTTGCGAGAGCTTGAGAAGTTCCGATTTAGATTTACTTGCAAACATGTGGTCTTTCTTGTGACTCAGTGTAGAAGACAGTTGTGGTCAGAGTGTATCTTTTGATTTTCATATCAGAGAACTTTAATATGAAATGTTTCGGTTTTGAGCACTTGTCGCTGGAAAATCAAGAAGGAAGAAGTTGTCTAGCAAAGTGGAGCAATTGTCCAAGAAACTTGCGGGTTGAGCAGCAATTATCACTAATATACTGCATGGCTAAGCATTAAATGTAGACCAATCCCGATTGTATGTAGGCTCTAGCGTATGCATTTAGTGTATAGTTGCTTCTTTTTATCTCGGTCGAGAGCTATGATCGGCCCGATCCCTGGCAAGCGAAAATGGACCTCAAATGTGGAAAGCTCAGAGTGAAAGCCTCTTTACTAATTTCCTTACTAACATAAATAACCTCTACTATGTAAATTAGTAATCGTGTAGGAACCTAATTTCTTAGTTCAGTCTCCTTTCTCCTGTCGGATCTCCCGCTTCTATGCCTTTAAGCCCGTAGCAATTTTCGATCCCTGGTGACCCAATGAAATCCACAATTTTCCTGCATAGCCTCCGCAATATAAATACCAAGTCGCTAATTCCGATTGGAAAAACTGTGGACGAACGACGTCAATCTAGCAATACAAAAAGTTACCGTACTGCAGAACTTTTTTTTGGTCGCATACATTGTCTAAGTTTTTCAAAGACGAAAACCTTACACATTATTTCACCTTCTTCTTAAGATTTTTGCTTTACCGAAAGTTCTCGTCATACTAAGCGAGCCCCACTTACGTCCGAATTTGAATTTCGTTTATTATTTAGTTTCTTTTTTCCCCTTAAAGGATTAATTAGCTTATGATAAAGAATATAAATATGTCCTCAACTTCCTTTATTTCCAGAATTGCTCACCCAAGAGTTCTCATCCCATTAACCGTCGTTGCTGGAGGATTATCAATTGCAGCATTCAATTACTCTACATTCTCAAGAACTATGTCTAACGAAGCAGGCAAAACCTTTAAAGGTGACAACGAGTGGATTGACTTGAAGTTAAAGAAGGAATGGCACGTTTCTCCAAACACCAAGCACTTGGTGTTCGATTTGGAAGATAAGGACCATGTTTCTGGATTGATCACAGCCAGTGCTCTTTTGACCAAGTTTGTTACTGAAAAGGGTAACAATGTCATCAGACCATACACTCCAATTTCCGATATTGATGAAAAGGGACAAATTGAGTTTGTCATCAAGAAGTACGATGGCGGTAAGGCATCCACCCACATTCACGAGTTAAAGGTTGGTGACTCTTTATCGTTTAAGGGACCAATTGTCAAATGGAAGTGGGAACCAAACCAATACGAATCCATTTCTTTAATTGGTGGTGGTACTGGAATTACTCCTTTATACCAGTTATTGCATGAAATCACGAAGAATCCAGAAGACAAGACTAAGATCAACTTATTTTTCGGTAACTTGACCAAGGATGACATCTTAATTAAGAAGGAAATCGATGACATTGCTTCCAAGCACAAGGAACAGGTCAATGTTGTCTACTTTTTAGACAAGGCTCCAGAAAACTGGGAAGGTGAGACTGGCTACATCTCGAAGGAATACTTAGAGAAGAACTTGCCAGGCCCAAGTCCAAAGCACAAGGTTTTCATCTGTGGTCCCCCACCATTGTACAAGTCCCTTTCCGGCCCTAAGGTTTCACCAACTGATCAAGGTGAAGTTACCGGGGGTTTGGCTGAATTGGGTTACACCAAGGAACATGTCTACAAGTTTTAGAAGTCACCACACAAGGTGACGAAATGAAGCTGCTTCGAGTGATTTGAATAGATAAAGAAAAAAAGAAAATTAAATAAAGTAAGGGGACTTGAAGAGAACCTACTTAAAGAGAATTTACTTAGATCAGATATATATTTTAGCTTGCTTATCGAATATTTACAATAAAAAAAAATATCTATCAGCTGACTGACTTGGTGCTTGATTGTAGAAGAGAACTTCTAGCGTCATGATTCGTGGAAATAATAAATAGATTGCTTGGTGAAGTTAACTGGGTTCTGTTCTGCACCTCTCAGTAGAGGGCTTATATCAAGTTTACTCCAATCGTGATTGCTTTCTTTCAAAAATTTCTTTTTCTTATTTCATGTGAAGAAACTCAGTCTAGTACTCTCTTGAAGTCTCTGATACCTTGCGGTACTTCAATATAGGACTTGGTGGTGCAGCCAACAACACTACTTCTTTTAACAGCTTCATTGCAAATGGGTGCAAATATATGAAAGCAGCCTATTCATATGCAGGACATTTCAAGCATCAGGTATCTGCAATTTGAGTCTACAAGTATTCATTCTTCTATTATATAGCATAGAGTAGCAGCTTGTTTTTGAAATGGTTAAGGTTGCTGTTGTTGGATGCTGTCACGGAGAGCTAGATAAGATCTACTCATCCGTTTCGAATTCTCTGGTTGATTTGCTTCTTATTTGTGGAGATTTCCAAGCCATCCGAAACAGAGCAGATTTGGATACAATATCTGTACCAAACAAGTACAAAAGATTGGGAGATTTCAATAAATATTACTCTGGTATAAAAGTTGCACCTGTTTTAACAATTTTCATCGGCGGTAACCATGAATGTTCATCCTACTTAAAGGAATTGAAATACGGAGGGTTTGTAGCGCCCAATATCTACTACTTGGGTGAGTTTGGTGCTGTCATGTACAAAGGATTGAGAATTACAGGAGTAAGTGGAATCTGGAATGAATATTCGTTTATGCAGCGAAACTCCGACTATTTGGACACTAATTTACCCTATAATAACTCGACTATAAGGTCTATATATCACATCAAGGCCAAAACATTTTTGAAGTCATACTTGATGAGAGATGCTAAGCATCACATCGACATAGCCCTCTCGCACGATTGGCCAAAAGATATAGTTCACCATGGGAATTTGGCACAATTGTTACGTTTTAAACCATTTTTCAAAGATGATATTAACTCAGGGAAACTTGGAAACCCTTTAGCCAAAATACTTGTACATAGATTAAGAGCAAGGTACTGGTTTTCAGGTCACCTTCATGTGAGATTCCAGGCACGAGTTCCTCATACCAATTTGAAAAGATCAGCCAGCTCTTCTGGCGAAAATCCAGCTAACAAGAGGCCAACTATCAATTCCGAAGAAATTGAGCTAGATATGGACGCTCTTGTTGAATTAAAAACCAATGCTAATGAAATAGAATTAGATATGGATTCTCCAGCCAATGAGACAAAAAATGCTAACGAAATCAATTTAGATATGAATGACGATGATCAAAGCAACGAGAGCGTGAAAAAGAGCCATACACTTGCTTTCACTCCAGCAGTAACTGAATTCCTTGCACTAGACAAGTGTGTGGCTAAAAGAAAGTTCATAGAATTCTTACATATTGATCCAATTAGGGAAGATCATAGCAACAACTTATACTATGACAAAAGGTCAATTGCTGTAAACAAAGTCATTGAAGACTTTGCTCAAGAAAGGAAGAACTCTCCATGGACTAATATCACTAAGGGTCAATTGTTAAATATTGACAATGAATTAAGAGAGATAGTACTTGAACTTGAAGAGCAGGTGGACTATGAGTACCAGAAGCTAGATGCTTTACCAAATGAAAAATTCGTAATTGAACAAGAAAGGTTCAAGATCATTGCACCAGTAGAAGGTGAACTGAAGACTCCATTGAAAATTTGGGACAACAATCAAACGGAATACTACGTGAAAGAGTTTCTTTGAGTATTACTAATCATATAAAAAGTTACAAGAATCAAGGTCTAACAGCTGTTGCAGGTTCGGTCTATACAAAAACAAAGTATGGACTCAGACAAATGCATTTTTATAAAGCTTCGTTTAAGAAATTAACAATCTTTTTAAGGCCGAAGAAATCCTTTTCTTCCAAGTCATTTACATCGATATTTCCTTTGTTCAATTTTGAAATTGCCGATTCAAACAAGAAGGCTGCGTCATGAACTCCCCAAGGCTCAACAAATAGCTCAAAGCCAATCTTTCCATTTTCAGTTTCTGTCTTGAATTCATGAATTGATGGGTGATAATTACCATCAGACACTTCATAAGCTCCATGTGTTCCACTATGGGCTGGACAGCCAAACACATTTTCAGCAAATTCTAATACATCGTCCCTTAAAGTTTCGTATTCACCAGCAAGAATCAATACGTTCAGTTTGATTGTAGGAATATCATTCCAATCGTTTATGGAGAATGGGTTCAGTAGAGGTGAGATACCAACGCTATCATATAGTGCATCTCCAAACGTAGATTGCAATACTTCAGGCTTACTAAAAGTACCATACCTTATAATATCTCTATTCCTATTGTCATAATGAGAAATACCTGGAACATACTGATCTGGTTTAACGAGCACTCTAACCCATGGAGAAACAAGTACCAAGTTAGTTGGGAAGATCACCTTCTCAGTTTCCAATTCCTCAGCATCTATTAACTTATCTTGGGTCAAAGATTTTAAATATTGTAAATATTCCAATGCTAAATGACCACCAGCAGAGTCACCTATAAGTGTAATATTTTTGTATCCTTCTCTAATTGTTAAGTTCTGGTATGTTTCATGGAGTTGGTCTCTTTGAGTTGGGAATTTAAATCCCATAGAGGACAACTTGTAGTCTAAAATTAATATGGAAACTTTACTGCGCTTTGAAGGATCTAAAAGTAAATATGTAGAGATGACTGTTTCTAACTGACTTGGACCTAATTGGTAAGCGTATCCACCACCGTGTAAATAGACTATTACCGGGTCATTAGAGTCGTTAGTGTCCAGCTTTACGAGCCAAGTGGAGTTGGCATCGTATTTTTCTCCATACCCTGGTAACTTTTCTTTAACAAACAGCGAATGACTACGCTTGAAGAGGTTTAAGGTGAAAGATATCTGATAGTTTGCTAAGAAATGCAAGTCTTGATGCTGGACGTTGTTGTATATCGTAGTTATCATTGAGACACTTAGAAATTTTTCTAAGCTGTTCTGGTACTTCACGAATGAACCGGTCCCGTAAACATAGTACTTAATCACAAAGTACGAATATCTCAAAGGCAAGGATAATACCAATGCCACAAATGAAAATGAAGGTAGCTTAAACATGATGTAAAGGGTACAAGATCAGAAAGAGAGAGCTTCTTCCTCTTCTTCCAGTCGGAGATGAGATTATTAAAAAGTCTATGTGCGGGGCGGCGTTCATCACTAAGGCTAAAACAGGCTGTACAAAGGCGATGGCCAACCACTGAAGATTACACGTGAATGATGGCCCAGTACAGTAAAGCACCGAAAATTGGTACTTACCGACAGTTAGAGGCTATGCAATAGCCCTAACCCACTCATTAGCATTCAGGAAGCAAAGTATCTGATGCCACTGTACGCTAGATTACGTGCAGTAACATACGCAATGGGCCTTTATCTGAATTCCGACTTCTGAAGATTCAACTGTTAAAGGCTGAGCTTCAGTCTACGCTTAGGTCATTATTCCCCTTTAACAGACACTTCACAGAAATTGGAGATCAAAATTATCAAGGAGTAACAGCCTTTCTGTTTCCGGTGTAAGACAAGGTTTTATTTGGTTTTGCTTTCTCTCCAGTTTTTGTGTATGGCAGAATGGCTGCAAATTTATGAGTAGCTCATTTTTCAAGTGATATTGCTTCATCTATTTCTTCTAGCTACATTTAATATACATTTATGTTTTCAAATAAAACTGAAAAGATACTCAAGATTAAAAGTCAGATAACGAAAGCATTCAGTGCCAATAAGTCGTATTCTCTATCATTTCTGAAATCTTGTGAAAGCCTAACAGCTTTCTCTAGGATGTGTGAAGATACAGTACCTGAGACGCACTTACTAGAGTCACTAGAGCAAGATATTCATAGCATAAGACCTCCAGGAAATATTAGGGTTAGCTCATGTAACTCGGATAAGGGGAATGTTAATAGTAACATTGAAATTGTGCCTGCAATGGAGACTGAATTGGAGGGTGGAAGTGCTGAACTTGTTTCCTGTGTGAAAAGTAATAGCGATATTCTTCTAAGCAATACTAAAACTGAGGCCACTAACATCCCTGAAGAAGTTTCAAACAAGACAAGCTCTAATAAGACAAAGAATAAAAAGAAGAAAAAGAATAAAAAGAATAAAAAGAAGAAGAAGAAGAAGAAGAACAAGATGGCAACGACGACGACGGCGACGACGACAAGCAATGAGTATACCTGTCAGAGCCCAGATGGTCCATTAGATTCTGATAGTGTTCAAGATAAAAGCTCAGAGACGTCAACCATTTACTCTTTTGAAAGTTTTGATAAACTTCGAGTCATTTTCCCTATTTGGGCTGACACTAGTACATTCATTGACTCTGACACCAATATCAGATCAATAGCCTGTGATGAGGAATTAGAGCCGCTCTATGAAAAGTATGAGCGAATAGCTTCAGAGAAACTAAAGGAAACAGTAACAAATCGTAATGATCTCAAAAATATTTTCTTTAATGGATATTTCCCTAGATCAGAGGAGATCTTATGTCTTCAATTACTCTGAACTTTCAAATATACTTTAATGTTAGTCAACCTTATGGAAGGGCTTAGTTTATTTAGGCGGTGCAACCATTTTTGTTAAGTTGCGAATTCCAGGCAAAACTCATCTCAAGACAAAAAGGTTCAATTTCTTAGCATTAGTATTTGGAGTTATAAGTCATATTTGCTTATAAATGAATGGATGCCAATACTCGTCGTCATATCCCTTATATTCACGAGAAGGTAATTCTCTTGATCCATGTTTTATTTATGATGTTGGTTGTTTGCTTTACTGCTTGTTTGGGGCTTTCATAGGTTTTGAAATTTTCAAGATTTTATATTTGCATGGCAATGGTGTTCTAACACATGGATACCTTGCTGATGACCACTCAACTCGAACTATAAGGTATTCGTTTGGATCTTACTTTTCGACAACTGGTCAAAAATTTCGCTTGTCATTGATTGTTGTTTACGGATTACTTGTAAATATTGTAATCTTCAAGATAAAAGGCACATGGGCAATAGTTACACTGGTAGTGCTTCTATTAGCATTCATACTCCATTTGATTGAAATCACCAGAACTGTAGTGCAATCAACATCACTTCTTTGGTTTTGGTTGACCTCTGTTGTGTACAATTCGCTATGTCTAATTCAGGAACTATTTTCGGCTGATGTTCAAATCTGGGAACAAAGCTCAATTAAATTGAAATTCTTGGTGTGGTCAATATCTGGAAGTATATTCATTTTGGAAGTTCACTTTTGGCAGCCTACAATAGAATTGGTCGAATATTTTGATTTAAATGATTGGGATAGAACTTCAATTCATAATTCCTTTACAAATATAACTTTCTCTTGGGTTCAAGACCTCTTAACCAGTGTTTATAAAACTGATGTGATCGACATGAAAATGATTCCAAAGACACCTGCAGATTTGAAGATTAAGTTTACTTTAGAGAAGTTCATTGAACAATGGAGATCTGAAATAATGAGAGCAAGAAAGAGAGAGGGGCATAACGAGATAGATGAAAATGATGTGTCGCTTTTGACGTCCATTCTCAAGTCATATTGGCCACTTATTTTGTTCAGTTTTATATTAGAAGCTCTGAGTACTATATTGACTTTTGCTGAGCCATTCCTTCAACAGCAATTTATCTTATTCTTTGCAAATTCTTTGAAGAAAGGAGAAGACATTGAGCGACCACCTAGAATTTATGGATATTTTATTGCTTCTCTATTTTTTCTCATCTCGATGCTCAGAACTGTTCTCAACACCCAATCTTCCCAATTGAAAGCTAAAGCAACCTTTTCTTCGACGTCAATACTGTCATTAATCTATAGGAAGTCTTTAAGACTCTCTACAGAATCCCGTCAAACTAAAAATGTGGGTCAAATTATGAATCATCTCTCGCTTGATATTCCAGTTATTAGATCATTTCCAACTGGTTCTGCGGTCAAGATCATTATAGCTCCATTTAAGGTAGTATTGTGTGTGCTTGCATTGCATAAAATTATCGGTAATGCCGTTTGGGGGGGTGTTGCTGCAGCTTTAATTATGATACCCCTTGTTTCGAAGATCAAGGGAATCACGACACCTTTGACTAAGAAGATCATGGAATATAAAGATGCAAGACTTCAATTGTTAAACGAAGTGGTAAATTCCATGCTAAGTGTTAAGTTGTACACTTGGGAAGATCTGATTGAAAACAGGATTAAAGATATCAGAAATGGGAAGGAATTGAAAACTATAAAACAGCTTAGTGTATGGAATGCATTTTCGAGATTTATATTTAGCACAGTTCCTTTTTTCATTTTGAGCTCGAGTATATTGGCTTTTGTTATGTTGTACAAAGATGTTCCTTTACTGCCAGAGATCATATTCCCAGCCTTGTCATTGTTCAACGTACTAGGGAAGTTTATTTCTTCAACATCAGGCTTAATCCAAAAATTTGCAAAAGCCAAAGTTTCATTTAATAGAGTTGAAGAATTTTTATTGTTAGAAGAAAAGGAAGATGATGAGGCGTACCTTAGTAGGTCATACGGCTATATTGAAGATGGATCCCAAGTTATAAGGGTAACCAATGGTACATTTTTATGGCTCCAAAGTGACAAAGAACACATCGCTTTGAAAAATATCAATCTTGAAATTAAAAAGGGGCATTTGATATGTCTAGTTGGTAAAGTTGGAAGTGGAAAGTCTACCTTAATCAAAGGTATCTTGGGAGAAATTCCCTTACTTGAAGGGACTAGTTTTGCACATGGCACGATCGCATATTGTTCTCAGAATGCTTGGATTATTAACGCAAGTGTCAAAGATAACATCTTATTTGGATTCAAATACGATAAATCTAACTATGATAGAACTATTCGAGTATGTGAACTTTTGGTTGATATTGACTCATTTCCAAATGGTGATCAAACCTTAGTTGGGGAGAAGGGAATCTCACTTTCAGGTGGACAAAAGGCTAGAATTTCTCTTGCAAGAGCAATCTATTCTAACTCAGATATATATATTTTGGATGATATTTTGTCAGCAGTTGATAGATTTGTTGGGGCTAAACTTATTCAGAATGTCCTTGGTGAGCAAGGTATCCTCAAAGATAAGACAAGAATTTTAGCAACTAATTATATACCAATGATTCACCTTGCAGATGAAATTGTGTTAGTAGAAGGTGGAAGTATCGTTGAAAGAGGACTCAAGGGAGAAGCTGTCAAGTCGAAAGAAATCGATAGGTTGATAAAAGAATATGGGGGGAACAGTGAGGTAAACTCAGTGCAGCCAAGTATAGTTGATGTTGATTTAACAGAAAGGGAGGAATTACAAGAAATGCTGGAATTGGGAGAAATACAAGATTCTCAGGAGTTGCAAGTACGAGATGCACAAGATGTACAGGAGCTGCCGGTGGTAGAAGGATCAAATTTGGTACAAGAAGATTCGAAAATCTTAAAAATTGATGATATTGCGCTTGCAAATGAAAACTCCTCAAGCGGTAAAGTTAAATCTTCTGTTTTTTATGACTATTTCAGGGCCTGCAACTACATGACGATTTTTATTTATGCTGGATTGACTGTGGCTAGTACTTCTGTAACAGTATACCAAACAACTATACTTAGTCGATGGTCAAATTTAAACTTGAAATTTGGCAAAACTATAGACCCAGCTTACTACTTATCTTTGTATGCTCTCTTAGTAATTATGCGAGGTGCATTCACTATGACGGCTTTGATTATTGTTTGGGTGTTCTCATTTATCGAAGGATCCACTTATTTCCACGATAAGATGGTGAGTAATATCTTACAATCCCCTATGCAATTATTTGAAACGACACCAGTTGGAACCATATTGAATAGGTTTTCGAATGATGTTTCTGCGATGGATTTGACTATTCCAGGGATCTTTGTAGGTGCAGTGAATTTGATAATCAATTCGCTAACGTCATTTGCAATAATTATTTGGCACTTACCCATGATGATATTGGTAATACTCTTTCTTTTAGGAATTTATGATTCGATTAGAAGATATTTTATACCAGCATCAAGGGAGTTTAAGAGACTCTCAAGAACAGCTAATAGTCCAATATTATCCCACTTACTGGAATCGATTAATGGAATTGAGACTTTGAATGCATATGGCCAAATAGAACGGTATGTGGAACTCAACGATCAGAAATTAGAATCATACATTAGTATTAATTACACCAATTCTTCACTATCCAGGTGGCTCACTATTAGATTGCAGACTATTTCCTCTACTATATTATTTAGTACATGTGTGTTCTGTTTGCTAAGTCTTGATAAAGGTGACTCTCCATTTGATGCCGCATTAGTTGGGTTTATCTTAAACTATGCTTTGTCGATTCCTGGTCAATTAAGATCGATAATCACTACTTGGACCCAAGTCGAGACCCAGACGGTTGCTATAGAAAGAATTATAGACTATTGCAAATTGCCCCTCGAAGCACCAAGAAGGATGGAAATTGATGAAAAAATTATAGGTTGGCCCTCGAAGGGAGCTTTGAAGTTTGTAAACTATTCAACAAGATATCGTGAAAATTTACCAATGGTATTAAAAGGAATTAATGTTGAGATAGGTGGAAAGGAGAAAATCGGAATAATTGGAAGAACGGGTTCTGGAAAGTCCACCATCACTAGGGCCATTTATAGGTTATTAGAAGAGACAGGAGGACATATTGAAATCGATGAGATAATTACGAAAGATTTAGGATTGCACAAATTGAGACACAATCTTAGTATTATACCTCAAAATTGTCAAACTATCGAAGGAACTGTGCGAGAGAATTTGGATCCATTTAATGAACATAGTGATGAGGAATTATGGAAGGTACTTGAGATGTCGTATTTGAAGGACCACATCATGAAATTGAAAGGAGGTAAGCCAAAAATGAAAAAAAAGCAGAAGAATAGAAAGCAGGGATCTGAAGCTACGGAGAATTTAGTTCAAGTCGAAGATCAAGAACCAGTCGAAGGAGTCGAAGAAAGTGAAAGCGAAAATGTTGGCCTTAACTCATATATTTATCAAGGTGGTTCAAACCTTTCCGTTGGACAAAAGCAACTATTATGCCTTGCAAGGGCTATTTTGAACCCTTCTACCATACTTATCCTCGACGAGGCTACAGCTGCTGTCGACATGGATACTGACTTGAAAGTTCAAAGTACCATCAGAGAATATTTGAAAGAAAGGACCATTTTAACCATTGCGCACAGACTTGAGACAATTATGGATAGTGATAAGATAATTGTCCTCGATAATGGAGAGATAATTGAATTTGGAACGCCAGAAGAGTTGATGCAAAATGGCGGTTTACTTACGGAATTGGTAAATCATTAAAGATAGTATAGCATTTTATTATTTGTAACTCAGTAAACTAATAATAAACGAAAATAAAAATATACAAAGGTAGAAAATACTTTATAGATGCAAAAAAGGTATTCAAAATGTCTAGCACGGCGACATTGGTACTTCCAGTCTACTTCTATTAGCTTTATCTTTAACTTTAGGCTACCCCGGACTTTTTTCTTATGCAAAGTGCGCGCTACACCCGAGCAGGGAAGAAAATATTCGAGGAACGAAGAGAAAATCAAAAGAAAGAAAAATAAATATGGACTACTTTCCTTTTCTTTGCCCTAAAAAGAACTCAGTGCAACCATTTAGTTGGAGTTGTTATATAGAAGTGGGTTCTGAATTGGATTTTAGAGCTAAAATAAAAATAATAATAAGAATAATAATAATAAATAGTAAAAAGAACCTAGTACATTAGGATCTATTTGAGTGAAAGTCATTCTTTAGTCGCATTATTAACCAATCACATTTAAAGTATGATAATTAGAACAAGGACGTTTTTGAAGCATACCCGGATAAAATATCCTAGCTTTACTTCGATAACTAGAAATTTAGCAACCGAGGCGCAAACAATCCGAACTCCTATCGAAGATTATAACCACAAGGTTGAAATAGGTAGACTTCGGGATGATCAGTATCAGCGGAAAATCATAAATAGTATGTCAGACCTACATTACCGGTTGGTCCTGTATACACCACCACAAGTTGATCTCCCAGACATCGATGATTTGAAACCAAAGACTGGGATATCTAAATTTTTTTCTTCTTTCGGTAGGAAGAGAACGGGAGGCATATCGGATGATAACTTTGAGGTATCTGATATGAAGGGGATATATCTCTATGGTGATGTTGGTTGTGGGAAAACAATGTTGATGGATTTATTTTATCTGACAATTCCTCCGCATTTGGCCAAAAGAAGAATTCATTTTCATCAATTTATGCAGTACTTGCACAAGAGGCTGCACTCATTAAAAGTAGAACATAACCATGCTGACCTTGATGTTTTACCTATATTGGCGCTGGAAATTTCTCGAGAGTCTACGATATTGTGTTTTGACGAATTCCAAGTCACTGACGTTGCTGACGCTATGTTGTTGAGGAGGTTGTTGGCGCTCATATTGTCGCCAGAGTATGGAGTAGTTCTTTTTGCAACTCTGAATAGAGCTCCAGATGATTTATATATGAATGGTATTCAAAGAGTACTGTTTATACCCTGCATTAAACAAATTAAGAAGCAAACTAAGGTGATATATTTAAATAGTCCTACAGATTATAGGAAAGTCCCTAAACCAATTTCCCTGGTGTTCTATAGCCCCAAGCCAGGTATTAAATATCTCTCCAAGGCATGTATTCTGCAAAGAAAGAAGCATGTTGAGCAGTGGTATGAATATTTTAGTCAGGGAATAAGCATTGCAGATGGTCAAAAAGATTTTAGTGTGAACATCTGGGGTCGTGAGCTTCATGTTCCTGTTTGTACACCACCTTACGTTGCTCAATTCACGTTTGAAGAACTATGTGGAAAGCCACTTGCTGCTGGTGATTACTTACAATTGGCTTCATCATTCAAATGCTTCATCGTAACCGATATTCCATATTTAAGTATAAACTGCAGAGACAACGTTAGGAGGTTTATTACGTTTTTAGACGCAACGTATGATGCTGGTGGGAAGTTAGCAGTCACCTCTGCCGCTCCATTCAAAGATCTATTTGTAGAACCTGAAGATGTTGCAGCCGATGAATTTGAGCTATACAAGACTGAGAGAAAGAAACTGAAGGGTGAGATAAAGGAAGGGGAAGAAGAAGAGGACGAATTGGTTACTAAGCACGGTTTCGATAAAAATATTGCAAAGAAAGCTAACATGTTTGCCAATGACGAAGAAAAGTTTGCTTTTGCAAGAGCACTCTCTAGATTATCTCAAATGAGTACACAAGACTGGGTTGATCAACCGTAAGCACATAGACAATTAAAGGGCCGAAAACAGAGAAAAGAAGAAAATCACTTCAAAGAGTTCGCTGGTTGGCTAGTTGAGTGTGGAGCCTAGAATAACTTTGTACCCACACCTAACAATGGGCGAAACATCGCCAGTGTACGCAATTCTTTGCAATATAAGGTAATTTATTTTTTTATTTTCTTCAAACAGATAAAACAAATTAGGTAAAGGTACTTTGGTACGCTTTATTCTTCAAAGAGGGACATGTACCAAACAAAAATTTAGACGCCTGTTATTTATAGAATCAGCTTTTAGGCATAGATTTGAAAGAAAAAATTAGACATTCTAAGTGGATAGCAATAGACAATAAAATAATATCATTAGAGTTGAAGATGCCATGAAAAATTCATGACCAGACACATGTAGAATGTTGAAAAGAGAAAAGTATGTTATGCGGTAAGTCATTTCATTAGATAAGAAAATACACAGTCGTAAGAAAGAAAGAAAACGATAAGATTGTGATATGAAATACTCATTCGGAAATAAATTTGATTAGGAGGATTATTATTTAGGTTAAAAATTTCTTAGTAATTGATACGAATTAAAGGTTATTGTGTAAAACAATGCGAAGGTAATCGACAGAGAAGGGTTAACTCCATTCCAAATTGCAAGACAATATCTGCTTAATTAAGACTGAAAAGGGGGGAGAATTCTTTAGAAATGTGATTCAATTCAAACAAGCTAATGCTGTTGCTTGTGGCCATTTAGATCGTTAGGTCAACGGATCACTCGCCTTCCCTGCTAGCCAGCACTGTGTTTTTTCCTGTACACAGCCGAGAACCTTTTTAAGGTTTGATGTGCATCAATTTTAGAATTCGTGACAACGAAACGGGCAGACCCAAGACCAAATTAAGCCATTGAGACTTTTGACTTCGAAAAATTCATCTTCGTAGTATGGTGCAAGCATATCTATTTCAATGACCACGACTTGGCTTCCTACTTCACTATTCTGGAAGAATATCGAGATGGAAATATATGATATATCCGGATCTCAATCTAAATTCTCAGCCCGAGCCAGAATTGTTCGTTTCTCCTTACGTAGAACACTATATCCGAGAGTCTACACGCTCGCATAAGATTATAAATAGAATTTTTTTCTTTTTGGCTTTTATTTGTTATTTTTTCGGGCAGAGCGTCTTTGTTTGATGTTTTTTTCCCACTTTCGTCCCCCAATGTGGTCGATCAGATCTGAGTTGCTTGATACATTTTAATCTAATACAGCAGACGTCTAGGTCGTTTAGAGTTACACATTTCTCATGCATCTTTCTATACCAACCCTTTATACTCATTCTTGGTCCCACTATACAACTGTGACATGCGGGCATCCCCCTTTCCTTGTAGCAATCAAAGGTTATTGTGCATTGTTCAATGTCTTCGTTTCCTTCTCTCGTAGGTCCGGGCTCAGCATGCAGATTCATTGCAAGCGAATTTTTGTGGGCCTTTGGCTTTTTCGCTGTGAATTTTTTCAATTTTTTTTGTTTTTTTTTTTCCTGCGTCTCTTCGTTTGATTTTTTGTGTTTCACGCTGTTGTAAAAAGATAATAGATACACAAGTCAAAACATAACAAGGGAGGTAAAAAGTCAGGCCTTTAAATTGTCATTCGCTTCAGATTCATACGCATATTAACACGCATATACACTCGCTTTAATACCCACTGCCTACTGCTAAGAAACCCTGATCAAATCACGATAGAAACGCTTCTGACCACACCCAATTATCTGGCACTTCACTAGGACGACACATCCCTAATATTCTTTAATCTATTAACTTGACTTCACACAGATTTCTTCTGGCCACCATGAACCACTCCAATTTCTCACATTCATCCCTCGATGAGAACATGTACGACATATCGATTTCTCGAAATATCAACACGAAGAAATCGTTCAAATCGGCCTACTCGCCACAGAGGGTGGGATCCCTAACCTCTTTGACAGCTTTGAATGATGTGCAGCCACAACACCCGATTGCACTTACCTCCAACAAACGCCCGGGGGAAAACTACTTTATTGCCAAGTTGAATCAGAGCAACCCACACTTGGACTCCGCAATACGACCAAAGCTGGGAGAGTCGATTCTCTCTCTTCAATCAGACGAAACGTCGCACCTGAGCCACTTCGATCCTCATGATTCCAGATTGAGCTCCTTGAGTAGCACTTCAATAATAGACCCCTCTCCCTCAGAATCTCCATCAAACAATCATTATAGCTTTACTCTGTCGACGGACTTGACTATAGACGAGGAAGAAGAAGACGAAGAAGATGTTGTTGGCTCCTTGAGAAAAGTTAAGGCTGAGCAACATCTGAGCGGTGGAAGTGATGATGATGATACTTACAGTATAGTTCTGGGAGACATGATACGTAGCAATTCCACTATCACCTTGAGAAACCCAGTAAGACGCTCTTCGACAGGAGCCAGCTCCAATACTCCTGCTAAGACAAGACCCAAGTTGACTTCGTTGTCCACCGGCAATGTATCGACCATACCTAGTGCAAACGGCAACAGGATGGGTCTTCTCCGTACAAAAACAAAATATCTTTCAAAGGATCAAATTAAAGAACGTCAACTCCTCCGTAAGCAAGAATACGACGCAAATGACGATGACGATGACGAAATCCTAAACAATGACCTCGATCTCGTTTTTAACGTTCCAGTGATTACCAATCACTCTGAATTATATCTTCATCAAAGACTCCCCTCCTCATCAACTCCAAACTTACCATTGAGCCGTAAATCGTCCGTCACGTCAGAGAAGTCTGCTGCGGGCTCAAAAGTGAAGTCTTATTCCAACCTTATGCTGGACAACAAATACTATCCTGCTCCTAAACCATTTCCCATGCCTGGAGTGAACGACCAGGCAAGCCATGATGCCATGGTAGGTGGGAATACTGATATAGATCACCACGTCACTCACAATATTTCACAGTACTACTCGCAAAGATCGACATCTATTTCCAAGCTTGTGAAGTTGTCAAGAGAACAAGACTTGATGTACAAATTACCAAACTTCGTCAAGTCCCAATCCAGCTTGGATGACATGCAATTGATGTCCACTGAAAAATTGAATTATTTGGACCAAACTAGACCTATTAATCTCCCACCAAAGTCTTCTTCAGATATCTTTAAGCACAATAAAGAATTCAAGAAGTGTTTAAGTGACTTTGAACTTTATAATCAAAACTTCATAAATTCTAGACAAAGGCAACATGATAGTCGCAATGGATATTTCAAAGCCTGGGAAGATTTGAGTCAATCCAGTACGAAGGAAGGTGGGCACAAGGATTTTGTAAGGAAACTATACAGGGAAAGAAATTCCGTTAGAAGTTTGAATTGGAACTCGAATTGTCCAACAAATATTAGATGTTCACTTTTGAATGGATTTCTTCAAATTTCACCTGTTCAAGTGACCGAAGAAGACAGTTTTTCATATCTTATGAGGAAGTATGAAAGTTCACCTTCCAGCAAATTAATGGGAAAAGATTTAGAATTCAGTCAAATAATTCGAGTTATTCTTGACAAACCATTATACAAAGCCATAATAAGTAAACTCAACAAGGAGAAGATCGGCAGTATAATGGAAGAGTTTAAAACCTTATTGTATCTCCAGTCTATGTCTTCGGATGGACTTCATAAACATGATGAGCTATTCCTTATCCCTGCAATAATCTTCTCATTACCTGAGAATTCCACTGAAGAAAAATTTAATCTTGTCCAACGAATTAACGCCAAGGTGTTGAATAAAGAATTTCTTGTCGATTTCAATGAATCATTAGGAAAGTGGGGCAGTGTAGGTACTAGCTCCCTTCGCAAGATCTTTGGTAATGATAATTTAAAAGAATTTGAAAACTTGAATTCCAACAATATCTGGGAAATAATTAACCAATTGTCTGATACTCAACCATTGAGTTTATCTGCACCATCTACCCCGATTTTGATTCAGTCATTTTCATCATTATCATTTGATACTGAAAACAGTGATAACTCTGGCAGTTCTGAAGGAAGCACTGCTGCTTCGTCTGCTTGCCTCGAGTTGATCACCAAGATTGTTCAATCTTTAGTTGTCTACGTCAACTCATCTGCGCCCAAAAAATTTCAGTTGAGAATTTTGCAAGGGTTTATGTTGGCTATCTTCCAATTCTATCATTTTGGTTGGAATAATTTTAATGACTTAATTTCCAATAACGTTCCAATCAAATTGAATAATTCTAATAATGCTAACGAAAACTTGAACTCATTTGTTAATAAGTGGAAAGATTGTTTACAATATTTCTAATAACAATAATCTTATACATATTCCTCTATAAACAGCTATGCATAATATATATATATACTACAGGGAGATCATAGCTCTCCTCATTTTATTAAGATTCATTACTTGTAACATGCTTTTTTCAATCCATTTCCAAATCAATTTCATCTGGATTTTCTGGCTTCGCTTCTACCTTTGTTGGTTCCTTAATTACAGTGGGCAGTTTTGCCCTCACGAATCCTATTGGAGTAGATTTACTCTGTATCTCTTGCTCATACTTTGAATAAAGTCCTCTTTTATATCTAAGCATATCCTTAAAAGTGTTCTCATCACCATGCGATAACTCAAAGTTTTCCCATGCATCCCAAACTACTTGTAAGTCTTGTGGCGGTTTCAATTCACAAATAAATTTGAACAACAGTTTACCACGGTTATATTGTTGATGCAGTGCTTCAAAGTCAATAAATTTAAGACCAAAGTCAATCAACTGGTTTGCACTAAGTAAGTGAACCAGAGAGTTGAAAATGTCCTCGAAGGTATTTCTCACTGACTCCACATCATTTAATTGGATTTGCTTCACAATTAAAACTTGATACAATTCAGAAAGGATTGTTTGATGTCCCTTTGTTTGGCTTTCTTCCTCTTTCTTCAACTTTTCAATGCCCGCTTTCAATATTTTAATTGATTTTAGTAATAGTCCATTCTTCTCTTCAAAGTTTGAATAAAGTAAAATGATTGGTTTTGATAAGTTGGGGGGGCACTCGGCAAGACATTGTTCAAACAAATCTCGAATTCTTTCAATTTCAACTCCATGCGCTATGGCTTTAACTAAGTAGATGTTCCATATTTCGAAGGAAACAGGGTATCTGAACATTTTCAAGCCCAACTCATATATTGTGAATGATTTTTCAACCAAATTCCATTCTTCCAAGAAATTGGCATAATTGATAATATTTAGCGGAGTCACAATCTTAAGAAGTATTAATTTTTCATAAGCGTCACAGACTTTGGAAATCTCCTCGGGCTTTCCAGTATCTACAAACGATTCCAATAAATCTATGTAATACGTCCAAAGCTTGATAGACTTATGGAGTCTCATGTGAACGGTCAAAGAAGTATCGTCATATGCTATGTCACTCTCACCATCGTCATCAGGTACAAAGGTACACCCTTGGTCTATTATTTCAACTGCCTTCTTATCGTTCCCAGCTTTCAATTCCAACCCGCTCCATTCTATGTACAAGGTTACGAGATCATCGGGAGATTGGAATTGAGACTGTATGGATTTGCTCAACACTATGGAAGCTGTATTATAATCTTCATTGGACGCATACACGTTGGCATACTTAATCCAAAGTTGAGGTAAGGTGTACAGTTGATTCTTGCTTAGGGAGTGTGCCTTGAAGGGGTTTATTGTAGTCAAAGCCTTAGCGTATGTGGTTAAAGCGCTGTTTATATCATTCTGACTTTCGTAGATCGAAATTCTTTTGAACCATTCATCAAGATTATTGGGATCCTGTTTAATGAGAAGGTCACTCAAAAGCAATGGTCTTGAATCAAGTAGGTGTTCTAAGAACGAAATCTCAACGTTTAGACCAAGATTGGTTTCCATACTTGCTTCTTCTTCTCCGCTTCCTGCCATTTCTTCAATTACACTCTCTTCAAATTCCACAAAGCTGTCAAATATCGTTACAAAATCCCTGACAGTGAAGCATTCCTTTAATCCCTTATCGTACAAATACTTTGCTTTTGGAAAATTATTTGTCGATGAATAATACTTAGTTTGTAGTAAGTACAATTTACTAATCTGATCTGGAAACTTCTGGAGGCCCATCTGAACTAACAAATCGATGTCTTTATCTCGAATTATACCCACATCTTCAGATCCTTCACCCTTGGATATTAAATCTTCAACGTAATCTGTTAAGAATTGGAGTTGGGATATCTCCATATTATAGTAGTCGGATTCGTATTTTTCAAAAACTTCATTAAATACTTCTAAAGAGACCGATATGCCTCCAAAGTCTACCAACTTAGATATCACTTCACTTATCGTTATTCCATTTTCCGAAGTTTGCAAATCTACTGGGGCTGAAAACTTGAGATAATTCTTGTACACTTGGACTCCAGTAAGTCCTCCAATATCATCAGCAAATCTTAGGTATGATTCCCAGATTAGGTGATGTTGTGTAGTTGGTAACTGCACTAGCGCTCTATTGAAAGCTTGGCGTATAAAAGTTATTGATTTGCTGAACAGAAATGGCATTGATGCAACTAGGAAGTCCAAGTACTTCATCCAAACATGTGGGAATTTATTAAGCCATACAAGTGCTCTTTCAAATTCCTCGTTGACTGAGTGATAACTTGATATTGTTTTTTTCAGTATTGATATCCTAAGGCTCAAGTATAAGTTCCATAGCTTATAAGATCTCGGGAATGCTTGTGTCGCCCTCCGTAAAATAAGAACTCTCAACTTGATATTACTCTCTGGTACTGATCTGTAGTATTTAAGCCATACTGACAAGTTATGAGGATCTTTCAATAGGGAACTCTCGAAGTTAATATCATCTTCAGAAAATATATTATCAAGATCCCAGTCCATATCAGTGAAATTGTGATTTTATGCCGTTTACAGTAGTTTACGTGCTCTGTCCATACTTTTGTAGACTGATATCAATAGAGCTAAGAGAATGAGAAGAGGTATAGTTACCAATTATATGCAGGATTTATCATATGTGCATACTCTTGTCATATATATATTTAGTCATGTAGAACTACTCTAGCTATTCTGTGATAGTACTTTATGAAAGCCTGTTTCACTTATTTGAGCATCATCGGAAGTGTCCAAGGAAAAGTCAGCATGTCGAAACGACTGAATGTTCATTAAATGATTCCTTGTGTTGGTTGGCTGCGAAAAACGGCTGAAGAGAGCACACCGAATCGTCTCTACAGAGATCACACAGGGCAAAAGTAAAAGAAGAAAATACTATGATAATACCGCTATACATCAGAGTTATGGGATTGCCAAGCTAGACCATTTCCCCTTCTCTCAGTCGCAATAGACACTCCAACTGCCTCTCTAATCTGTCATTTACATTCGTATATATATATATATATATATATATATATCTCCTGCACAAAGATTGCTTATGTAATCACTACTACTTATTGATTTTCCTCACCCTTCAATTTTCAATTTTTTTGAACTTCAGTTCTTTCGTATCTCGGCCAAGATAAGAAGCAAGAGGTTGCTAGCAAAGAACACTCAATTGAGATATACTTGCGTTCATATTATTGGAATACTGTAGAATATGTCAGGAGCTGGTAATAGAGAAGCAGTTTTCCCTACTCGTATGACCCTTGGGGTCATGAAGGGGAAATTGAAAGGTGCTCAGCAAGGTCACTCGCTTTTAAAAAGAAAATCTGAGGCCTTGACCAAGAGGTTCAGAGATATCACTCAAAGAATTGATGACGCCAAGCGTAAGATGGGTAGGGTTATGCAAACAGCTGCATTCTCTCTAGCAGAGGTGCAATACGCTACAGGTGATAACATCCTGTACCAGGTTTCAGAACTGGTTCAAAAGGCAAGATTCCAAGTTAAGGCTAAACAGGAGAATGTGTCGGGTGTGTACTTACCAACTTTCGAAAGCCATATTAATGAAGATATCAACGATTTCAAATTGACTGGGTTGGGAAGAGGTGGACAACAAGTCCAAAGAGCCAAGTTGGTCTATACCAAGGCCGTCGAGACGTTGGTGGAGTTGGCTTCCTTACAAACTGCGTTCATTATATTGGATGAAGTTATCAAAGTCACCAATAGAAGAGTTAATGCCATTGAGCACGTGATCATTCCTAGAACCGAAAACACCATCAGCTACATCAACTCTGAGTTGGATGAATTGGATAGAGAAGAGTTTTATAGATTGAAGAAAGTTCAAGAGAAGAAGCAGGAGAATGCTGCAGCTGCTGAAATAGAGGAAAAGCTCAAAAAGGCTTCTGATTTGGAAAAGGAAAAGGCACTGCAAAAGAAGCACGACTTATTACCAGCTACCACGGAAGAAAACGTCTTGTTGGAACAAAATGCTGCTGAAGACCTTGATAAAAAGGTTAAGGGTGATGATGACTTGCTCAAGGATGACGAAGAGGATGTTATTTTTTAGGAAACCACACCTCAACAGCCTTACATCTTGACTTCAATTCTACGCCAAAAAAAAAAGAAACATTATAGAATCAGTTCGTACGGAAGAGCGCAGTCTATAAATTACCTGTTACATCTTTGGACCATTTTCTATTCAATAAATAAGTATTTAATGTAAACCGATGTAAGATGAAGAATGCATTAATGCTGGAAAAATGGTGGAAAACAAACCATTTGGGCCATGCAGCCCTTATTCAATAATTTCAGCGACTTTTATACTTTATCTTGCATTGACAATGCTGCCGTTCGTCTAGAACTCCACATTTTGCTATTCTCCTTGCAGTGTCAGTACTGTTTGATTCTACAATTCCTACACTGGCTCACTTTTCAATTATTTACTTGAGTTTATTAAGTGGGGCAGACCCAACAGCCATGCCATTCTATATTTTTGCTTCACTCTCCGTTTCTCGCATTGTCTCTCGCTCTCTATGGAGCACAGTAACCACCATCGACTAAAATATCAGTTCCGGTAGTGTAAGTACTGGCGTTTGAAGCCAAGTACAAGTAAGCACCAACTAATTCTTGTGGTAAGGCTTCTCTTCCCATTGGGATCAACTGCCACCACTTTTCCTTCATCTCTTGAGGGACGAAATCTGAAATTTCAGTATTAATGTAACCTGGAGAAATGGTGTTCACTCTGGCGAATGGAGCCCACTCCACGGCAAGGGACTTACCTAAATGTAAGCATGCTGCCTTGGCAGCATTGTAAGGAGCCTGTAATTGAGGAACGTTAACAATGTGACCAGACATCGAAGCAGTGATAATCAATGAACCCGAACCTTTCTTTTCGAAGATTTTTCCAACTGTCTTGGCACAGTAGTAAACTCCGCTAAGATCCAAGTCAATGATCTTATTAAAACTTTCAAAACCTTCCACATTAAGACTTCTACCTTCAGTCCATGGTACACCTGCGTTAGCAACAAAGACGTCAATTGTGCCAAAGTCAGATTCGATCTGAGCGATCACCTTTTCAACATCATTGGAGTCACTGACGTTACACTTGTAAGCCTTACATTTTACTCCATATTCCTTTGCCAAGTATTCAGCCTTTTCGTCGGCAGGCTTGGAGTTATACCAGATTGCAACGTCTGCACCAGCTTGGGCGTAGGCTTCAGCTACTGCAAAACCAATTCCACCGGATGATCCAGTTACAGATGCAACTTTCCCCTTCAAGGAGAAGAGATCCAAGGAGTTTTTTGGCAATTTGGGTGAAGGTCTTGGTAAGGGACCAACGTGTTCGTTTATGTGAGAAGTAGGAGCCATACTAATTTGCAAGATATTTTTAGTTATCAGTCTTATAATTCAAAAAGATGATTAAAGAGAGTTGTTATGGAATGGAATCAGAAATCGGGTTCCATGGCTTTCCTTTTATAATGCAACAAGAAATTTGGAAGTTAGTTGCGCTTTCCGCTTTAGAGAGGTTAAACCCCCCTAAGTTTGCTCTTTTTGCCTTGACATAGTGAACGATAAGACCAGGTGCACTGAATTTGAGTTTATTTTTTCGTACAGAAATGCAACGGACATTTAGGTCATTTTGCACTGTAGATCTATCCCATTTCGGACCATTAAGTTATTCCGACCAGTGCTTAAGGAAGGATATCCGAGCCTGCATTGGCGACAGCTTCCACACGAAATGTGTAAAGTAGCCTAGTAGCTAGTAAGCACCAAAGTTATTGCTGCGCAATCTGGAATCGAATTTTGCCCAATTACGTCATACACTAAATGCGTTTTCGCGGCTTAAGACACATTACTTGACAAAAGATTTCCCTAGAAATCTCCCCCACGCCTACATGAGGTTTACTCCCGGTGCAACGTTGAAAAATCCAGTGCACCACTAAATACGGAAAGCCATCCGTTTTTTTTCGTTATCTTTCAGCCTTGGGAATACCTCAAATGCACTGGTGGCCAGGTAAAATAATCAAAGTGTGTGAGATTTGAATGTTATTGGCCTCGAGCTTTGTGCTTGGCTGCTCGGGATAATTTCTTGATTCAGTGGCCTGTCTACCGTTGGGCCTTCTTATTTGGCATATATTTTTTAGGATATTTTTCACTTTGAAACTGTGGGGATGCTGCACCCAGGCCAAAACATGCCAGATCTAATCAGCCAAAAACTGCAAATCTACACAATGGTACCAATCAAAGGACGAGGCGATTCCATGTTTGATTGTCTCCATGCTACCATTTGTGTTGGTACTATTTTCATTTTACGTTGGACTCATCATCCCTCCTCTTATCGGAATTTAGCCGAATCTATCAATATTATGTGCTCCTCTCTTGCACCGTACATCTTCGATGCAGATTTCCTCCTCTCTCTCACCTCCTCATTCCTTGTTGAGCTTACTGCTCAAATGATTTTCAATATTGATCGCTATGGGTACTGGCTTCTTCCCTAGCATTATTCCTTTCTATGTTGGCCTGATGCTCAGGGAACCTAGTCACTTACTCATTACTTAGAATTCTACTTTAGTTTCCATCTGCAGCAACTTCTATTTCCGTTACCCCATTTCTCATGATCCACATCCTCGAAACTACATTCTTCAGCCAATGGAGTTATTCTTCTCTGGCGCCGCTCCTCACTACAAAAGATTCTACAGTCTTCATTGTTTCTTATGCAGTATATAATAAATTTAGCCTAAATAACAATTATACTTGTCAAAGTCATTTTGGTTGGGGTTAGTTGAGTTGATATTTGTTGAAAGTCTCTCTAGTAAACTCTCTTAGCTGGAGGAACTGGTTTACATTCATTTTCATCCAAAGTGGTCTTAACGACATCTCTGTATCCTAAAGTTACGTCCTCTCCAAATCCCTTTTGCCATGATAAAGTGTGCTTTCTCCAGTTGACATCGTCTCTGTCTGGATAATCATCTCTAGCATGAGCTCCTCTAGATTCCTTTCTTTCAGTGGCAGACTTGGCAGTTTGTGTGGCACAGGTTAACAAGTTTTGTAATTCCAAAGTTTCAACTAAATCGGAATTCCAAATCATAGATCTATCAGTGACACCTACGTCCTTAAATGTCTTATCAATTGCTAAGATCTTCTCTAAACCTTCATCAAGGGTTTCTTGGGTTCTGAAAACAGCACATCCCTTTTGCATAGTCTTTTGCATTTCTAATCTAATATCAGCAGTAGACTTTGGTCCGCTAGCATTTCTTAATTTATCCAAGTTTTCAATGGATTCCTTACCTAAGTCAGCTGGCATTGGTGGGAATGGGGTGCCTGGGGTTAACAGATCAGTAATGGTGTGGGCAACAGCTCTACCGAAGACAACAAGATCTAATAAAGAGTTAGCTCCTAATCTATTGGCACCATGAACAGAGGCACATGCAGATTCACCACAAGCAAGTAAACCTGGGACAACTTTATCCTTTCCATTTTCATCTTGAGTAAGAACTTCACCGTTCCACTTAGTTGGGATACCACCCATATTGTAATGGACAGTTGGTAAAATTGGAATTGGTTCCTTGGTAACATCAACACCAGCGAAAATGTGGGCAGTTTCGGAAATACCTGGTAATCTTTCCTTCAAGACAGCAGCAGGTAAATGAGATAATTGTAAGAACATGTGATCCTTTTCTGGACCAACACCTCTACCTTCATTGATTTCCATGGTGATGGCTCTTGAAACAACGTCTCTGGAAGCTAAATCCTTAGCAGATGGAGCGTAACGTTCCATGAATCTTTCACCTTCACTGTTGACAAGGAAACCACCTTCACCTCTAGAACCTTCAGTGATCAAACAACCAGAACCATAGATACCAGTTGGGTGGAATTGAACGAATTCTAAATCTTCTAATGGTAAACCAGCTCTGGAGACCATGGCGTAACCATCACCAGTACAGGTGTGGGCAGAGGTACATGAGAAATAAGCTCTACCGTACCCACCAGTGGCAATAACGGTCTTGTGTGCTCTGAATCTGTGCAAGGTACCATCTTCTTGGTTGTAGGCGACTACACCAACACAGGCTCCGTCTTGCATCATTAAATCCATGGCAAAGAATTCAATGAAGAAATGGGTATCGTGACGCAAAGATTGACCATAAAGAGAATGCAACAAAGCGTGACCGGTTCTATCAGCGACGGCACAGGTTCTGTAAGCCTGGCCACCCTTACCGTATTCCTTAGATTGACCACCGAAGGCTCTTTGGTAGATTCTACCTTCTTCGTTTCTGGAGAAGGGGACACCGTAGTTTTCTAACTCGTAAATGGACTTTGGAGCTTCTCTCGTCATGTAATGGATAGCGTCTTGATCACCAAGCCAATCGGAACCTTTGACGGTATCGTACATATGCCAATGCCAATCATCCTTGTGCATGTTACCCAAGGCAGCATTGATCCCACCTTGAGCAGCAACTGTATGGGATCTGGTTGGAAACAACTTGGAAATACAAGCGGTCTTAAATCCAGCCTCAGCCAACCCGAATGCTGCTCTTAAACCTGCACCACCGGCACCTACAACCACACAATCATATTCATGGTCGATAACATGGTATTTTTGACCCAAGTATTTGGTGGAGTTTAATGTTGATCCCTTGATGTCATTTCCAATCGTTTGTCTCACCACACGTGTGGACGAGAATTGTCTTAACTGACGGAGCATTTTGTTACAATATCACTTATAACAGAAAAGTTTAATCCTGTTCTGGTGAAAGAAACAAATGTACTACTTGTATACTTTTTCACTTTTCTTGAACCTCCAAAAAAGGCCCCGGAGGCTTCCTTCTTTTTTTTTTTTGGTTTCGCACAGCTTACATAATTACGAGGTTTAATTGGTCAGTTTCGATTTGTGGAGGTGAGAAGTTCCATTGGGGAGAAAGGGAATCAACAGGTAGAGACGGAGTGTGCAGGATATGTACGGTAGGAAGGGAAGACTTCAGATGGTAAAGTGAAAAATCTACCGAACCAGAGAAGACTGACGGGAGGTGAAAGGTGAAAGTTGGGTAAATTGTCTAAGTCTGCGTCAAATGAGCTGGCCAACCTAAATGATAGAAATCAAAGAAAAGCAAAGTAAACAAAGGAGATGAGAGAAAGAAAACTAGACATTCAGCATGATTCCGGGCTTCGGCTATTGTACGTGAGTTTGGCACGGAGGGTGGGTGAAAGGGCGTAAGCGAACGACGCGAGGCTACTTTATCTTGTAGTTTGGCTTGGGATTCCCACGTTCACTCTGGCACCGAGATTTCGTTTGCGTTTGTGAGGTTTGTTTTTGGACTACCGGGATATAGCTGGAAACCATATGGTATGCTGCTCTATGGAGTGTTATGCAGTTATAGTTGATGCCCCCGTCCATTATCTGCAACATCCTCGGAGAAAGAAAACGAGGTCACGTGATCACTTCTATAAGAATACTGCAGCAGAATAGTAGTCTAAACTAAGCTTGTAGTTAGAGCGCTACAAGTAAGCACTGTACTAAGTGCTCCAGCAGCGAAGTGGTCAAAGCTGAACTCTGCGATTCGATCCTACGCTAATTTCTTATTTTCTATTGTATCATTATATTAAACATAATCTAGCTAACTTTCTATAAAAATATTTTGTATGCAAGTTTGTAGTTAGCTGAAGTAAGTCAAAATGAAATTCATAAAAAAATTCATCTGTTCAAGTTTAGATTCTCTTCAGTATCTCCACCCGTCTTTGTTGTCATTTTCGTTTTTTCTGTAGCAAAGTTCAACTATTTGCAACAGTAACCACCGTCAACCTTTAAGTCGGCACCGGTAACGTAGGTAGCTGCATCAGAAGCTAAGTACAAGTAAGCACCAGCTAATTCTCTTGGTAAACCTTGTCTTCCCTTTGGAGTCAAGGCGTACCAGATGTTCTTTTGTTCATCTGGAACGAAATCAGACAATTCGGTAGCCATGTAACCTGGGGAAATGGTGTTGACTCTGGCGAATGGTGCCCATTCAACGGCAAGTGATTTACCTAAGTGTAAAACACCGGCTTTGGCCGCATTGTATGCGGCTTGGAAGTTGGGCACATTGACGATGTGAGCAGACATAGAAGCAGTCATAACTAATGAACCAAATCCTTGATCTCTGAAGATTCTACCTATGTTCTTAGCACAATAGTAAACACCGTTAAGATCAACATTCATAACATTGAGCCAATCGACGTCATCTGGTTGATCGATCAAGGCACCTGCGGTCCAGGCAATTCCAGCGTTGGCAACGAAAATATCAATTTGCTTGAAATCTTCATGGATAGCCTTAATAACTGCAGCAACTTGTTCAGCCTTTCTAACGTCACAAGTGTGGAAGGTGATTTTGGTCTTTGGGTATTTTTCAGTCAATAAGTTGATAGCTGCAGGGTTTGGTGCGTAATCAACAATAGCCAAATTTTGAATACCGGCTTGACAGTATGCTTCAGAAACTACAAATCCGATACCTCTAGCACCTCCAGTGACAACACCAGATTTGTTAGTGAGGAGAAACAATTCGAGAACGTTTTCATTCAATTGTGGGAATTGGGCTGGTAAAGGGCCAATGTCCTTGTTACAGGACGAAACTGGGGCAGCGTTATCGACAGTCATTTTTTATGTGCGTATTGAGATTTTTCTTTCTTTTCTAGTTGGTAGAATACTAAAAATCAAAAAAACTGCTTCTGACATGGACCGCCTGTCTTTCTTATATATAGTAGATGTTGCAATAAATCTCGGAGAGATTCTCTTGGGAATCCTTGAAAAAAAAAAGAAACAGAAAATATTATTAACGCAAGATGAGGTAACGTTTCTTTTTCTACTATCAGGCTCCACACGGGGAGGTTCCGGATTATTGGTTATGTACGATAGACAGCGCTCTAAATAGAAACTCTCCGTAAAACCATGCGAAAAAAATGGTTGCGAGCACCGGAGAAGATGAGTTCTTCCTATAGATAGAATCAAGTAGCAACCGTTAGGTTAAGAATAGAGAGGTGAAAGTGCATTGCATTACACAAATCGATGGCCGTTAGACTCCTACTGATGAGGGATACTTGTAATGTTGACGACACAATTTTTTATTTGTTGGTTCTAGGTTCGGTTGTTTACTTTCCACTTCATTTGCTTATTTTTTTTTCTTTTTTTTTTTTGGTTCGCTTGTTTTACTTCAGAGTAAAGTCGTGATCATTTGCAAAAAACTCGATTCCACCGAGAATTACTTCTCAGTTATGCAGGTGCACAATTAACGTTTCTCTCTGAGGCGGATGTTTCAGGTCAGAAAAGCCAGTTTACATGGTTCCCCCATAGCTCCCCCATCTTTTAGTCCCTTGCCTAGAGAATCAACTTTCGCTTATCTCCTTTGGGGTGATTTCTTGTATGGCCTGTGATTTCTTTGGACCTTGGATGACTTGGTTCTCTCTATATAGCATATCACGATTTGCATCATGCTGTGCAGTAGCCCCTAATTTTACTTACCCCAGATACTTAGAATTTGATGGGATCGCCTCACTTTTCCAAAAATATCAACATGCCCTGAAGTGTTAGATACTTTTGTTGAAAACTGCGGGGGAGGGGTGATAAGTGGTCATCAGGTATAAAATATTAATAGTTAACTCAGGTGCGGTTAATTCTCGTGGGGTTTACCTTTCGTGTTTTGTTGATTGAAACTTTATTGAAAATTATTGTACTTAGGCAAATGGGACTGCACCTAAGAGAAGCAGCTCTAGGTATACAGGATGCGTACGAGCTCATGCAGTATTCCTTGAAAGAAAAGGTAAAGGCTGAAATGGAGCTGCAGAGAGTCTAGCATGCAGGTAGTATTCCCAAGCACTGTCAGAAGCCATATCTCTGTTTCGTTGTTGCTCTTAGAATAGCCTGGCGTCAAGCTTCTGAGATCACTCTTCTCGTAGCCTTGTGTATGTCCTGTATATAGGTTGTCACAATTTTGGTGGGATTGTTGCACTACACGTAAATCCCATATATCGGAGGTTCCGTTTGGATTCTAAAATTTAGATGTTTGAATGGTGCCTAGTATAATCTTCCCGGGGATTTGAAATGACGTTTGGAGGATAGGTCTTCGGTTCATCAATATTAGATGTGGAGTCTGTCGCATAAATCAAGGTGTACGCGAGTGTACTTTAAATTTCTGGCTACATCAGAGGGTTCCTCAAATACGATGGTACTTTTTCCTACTGGTTCTACAGGTAATGTAATAACACTGTGGCCTCTGAGAAGAGTGAACTCCCCTCATCTGTATCATCTCATTTCAAGAACCCACCTCAAGTGAAGTGGTTATATTTCTTTTCCCATATTGCATCTCGAACATATACATCCGGAAACCCATACAGAAAAAACCCAACCTAAGCTGCACCATAAAATACGAAAAAAGATAAGACTCGCCAATGGACGGAAATGCATGTCCTGTGGTATCCAAGCGAACGCACCGCGTAAAATTATATAAGCTCGAGACTCCCCTCAAGTTCCCCAGCTTTGCAATACTCCGACGGATTCGCTGAACTTTTCTTTTTGGTGCAGCTTTAGCATCGTCGGACAATTACACACAACTACATTCGGTACTTAATAACTCAGTAGTCTATCGCTGATTTCCACTTTTGTGACACGGAAAGAAAGACTAAACCGCCTCCCCACCCCCCCAGATTTTTTTTTTCATTGAAAGCCGAATCTATTACACTCACCCGTGAGATAACGAAGCAAACTAACAACTAGCCTTGTTGCCGAAACTTAAATCCCATCATCTCGTTATCTTTTTCGGGTAAAAGCTGGGGTGCCAAAAAAAATAAAATATTACAAATCAAATATAAATAGATAGACCGAAAGTAGTAAAGAGATTTGAAATCCCATTATGTTGAGCTTAAATCGTTTATCTTTCAGATCAATTCCTGGAAAGATCTACGCTGTTCGTTCGTTTTCAATGAGTACTAGAACTTTCACTGCTGCTAGTAAATTAAAACCTACTGACTTGAATCAGAATACCTTGGAAGCCAAGTATGCTGTTAGAGGTAGAATTCCAATAAAGGCTGACGAGTTACACCAAAAAATTTTGCTGGACCCTACTGACCATGGACTTCCATTTGATAACATTATCAGTGCTAACATTGGTAATCCACAACAGCTTGATCAGAAGCCATTGACCTGGTACAGACAGGTGTTGTCTATTCTTCAATATCCTAAGCTCTTGGACCACACAGATGTGTTCCCTGAAGATGTTATCGCCCGAGCCAAGTACTTACTCGACCATACTGGATCTTTGGGGGCCTACTCTCATTCTCAAGGTAATTTGGGAATCCGTAAGTCGGTGGCTAAGTTTATCACTAATAGAGATGATGGTCATGTCGCTGACCCAAGTAACATTTTCCTTACCCTGGGGGCTTCAGCTGCTGTCTCTTATTTACTTCAAATTCTCTCTAAGGATACTAAGTCTGGATTTTTAATCCCAATTCCACAATATCCTTTATACACTGCTACCATTGCCTTAAACAACTCCAAGCCTATTGGATACTTTTTGGATGAATCCCACCATTGGTCCACCAATCCTGAGCAAATCAGAAGTCTCATTAAAGAAAACCAAGCTGAAGGCGTAGACATCAAGGCACTTGTCGTTATCAACCCAGGTAACCCAACCGGCTCGATTCTTTCTAGAGATGATATAGTGGACTTGATCGATATCGCTGCTGAATATGGAATTGTCTTGATTTCTGATGAAGTTTACCAAGAAAATGTATTTGAAAGCGGCGGAGGAAAGTTTGTTTCCATGAAAAAGGTTCTCTCCGAATTGCTTCTTGAAAACGAAGCTAAATACTCCAACGTTCAATTAGCTTCTCTTCATTCCACTTCAAAGGGTGTTTCTGGAGAATGTGGGCAACGTGGTGGTTATATGGAACTTGTTGGATTCGCTCCTGCCGTGAAAGACGTTATTTTCAAGCTTGCATCAATCAACTTGTGTTCCGTAGTTTCCGGACAAGCTTTGATGGAACTTATGATTAATCCACCTCAACCTGGTTCTCCTTCTTATGAGGTATACCACGCAGAGACTTCCAAGATTCACAATGACTTACAAACTAGATCCACTGCCTTGTATGAAGCTTTCTCAGAAATGACTGATATTTCATGTAACAAACCTCAAGGTGCCATGTATCTCTTCCCAAAACTTAATTTTACGAAGGCAACTTACCCAGAGCTTTTCTTAGAAGCAAACGAATTTGAAGTACCAGTAGATGAGTTGTACTGTATGAAATTATTGGAAAGAACCGGAATTTGTTGTGTCCCAGGATCTGGTTTTGGCCAAGTTCCAGACACCTTCCACTTAAGAACTACATTTTTACCTCCTGGTAAAGAGTGGGTTGACAGATGGGCAAAGTTCCATGAGGAATTTGTTCATGAATACAAGAAATAATAAAACAAAATTGGCCAAAATTTTGGCCTACAAATAGATGATGGACGGAAGTTGATTATAGAATCAATTTAGAAACTAGAAGTCTAAGAAGAAAGAAAATCATAGCTAACTTATCATAGATTAGCTTATATATTCATAATAATAAAATTTTCAAAAGTATCATCTACACATGTGTAATGACATATCCATATATTTATATCGTGTATTACTTTTCTAAATTACATGACTTGACAACACCGGCTGCTTATTCGTTTTTCTTCTTTTTATCCACCTCATCTTTCAATGGTAATTGTTCCAAGTCACCAATTGCACACACAATTCCACAACTCACCCACGCTGGGAACCATCCAAGTATGACCACAAACCATGTCCAACATTGAAGTTGATCCCATGATGTAAGTAACCCTCTCATTAAAAGTAAAGCACCATCATTATTTTCAGTGCCAAAGTAATTACCCACGATATAGATTATAAAGAATGGTGAAGACGTAAAGAGACACAAACATATTTTAAGGGTGCTCTTGTGTGAGTCAACAAACATTACAATTTTAGAAATTGGATCTTCTTTCTTGGTAGCATGACTTCCCACCGATGGAATTCTGAATTGTCCAATATCTTTGGCAATGGGCTGGATCCAAGTCATTGGTAACGCTAACAATCCAATACTGAGCGCCAAGGTAAAATGAACGGTCAACAAGGCAAAAATTAACATGGCAATGTAGAAAAGAGCAAATGCAAGCAACAGGAACGTAGTGTTCTTAGAAAGTTTGATAAATTTCCTGTTAGTTTTATTGAAAAATGGAATCACACTAACAAATACTGTGAGCAATGTGAAAAAGTAAAGAATGAATGTTGAAGCCTGGAGTTCATCAGTAAATGTTGTCGAGTCGCTAGTATCTGCACTGGAAGATCCAAGAGTTCCAGAGAATGTATTACCTGAATAAGATGCCTTGCTAGTCTTTGACACAGCATATGGTAAAATCACACTCAAGACGTAGCATGCGGTTTCAATCCCAGTAAACCAACTCAAGATGGAACCAATGTCCAATTCAATACCAGAGTTCAAGACACAACCTAAAGACAGGAGGGCGAACAGAACTGCGATCAAGCAAGCCAGGGGTAAGTATGTTCCAATTGAGACAAAATACTGGGGCAGGAGCATCAAATAAAAGAAAAACGATTGGTGGAATCTTTCCAATAAATTATTGACCGATCTTAAAGTCAGATCAACTATACGACCAAATTGAGTAATGTCTGGAGCTCCTTGTGTTCCACGTGCCTTGATGGTTATCGCTTGAATCTGCCAACCAGAAAAAGACTCACATCCGGACACTGTACCAGGGTTTATTAAACCTGTAAGGGTTAATTTGATTATTCCACGGATTAATGTACGTAATCTGAGAAAGTAGCTATTATCGTCAACTTTTGTCCCATGGATCAGATATTTCAAACCTTCATGATATCCAATCAAATTGGCAGTATTCATAAGATCTAAGTTGGGCAATTGTCCGTTAATGCCCTCGTATTCAATTTCGTAAAACTCGAAGTAGTCCAGCAGTCCACCAAATTCCATTACGATTGCCGCATCGATCGACCCAGCAGTTAAAAAGTCTAAAGAAGTATGGTATCCCTCGACCCACTTCCTCAAGGGCAAGTGGCCATTTTCGGGGAATACAAGTATGATATTCTTTGACCATATTGACAACTTGGAAAAGTATCTGGTCAAAGCAACTGCCAAAGCAACTCCACCTTCGTTATATTGCATATCAGAGGTCATCCAAGGCACGGCAACAACCACCAGTTCCGTGTGATCACCTCTAGGGGCATTCATCACGGCATAAAGAGTACCAAATTCGGCATCTACAGCGGTCTTCAACCCAATGTCTTGTAGCCAACTAGCAACCATGGAATTTCTGGCCAGCTGATTCCAGTGAGCAAAATCTTTAACTTCTTGACGGTATCCTCTTACAATGTTCCACTCCAGCTCTCTAAAGTAGGAATTAGCTTGTGCAGGCATTAAAGCATTCTCGGAGATGTATGTTCGACGGTATTGGCCCTCAATCGGGAGAACTAATAGCCAACCAACGGATGCGAATGCTAGTAAGAGTGAAAATATTGGAAGAAATTTGACTAATTTCGGTATTATTCCAAGCTTATGGATCTTCCTAGAAAAAGTCTCAGCCAATGCCATCGTGAATATGGAAGAATCGCTTCAATTAAGGGCTTAGGTGGTAAGATAAGAAGAACTATCTGTGGTTGATTTCGGATGGATTTTTTTGGCTTTATGTATAACGTGTTTTGAATATATGCAGGATGATTGAAGTGAAAAATTGTTAGCGTGTGGTTGCAGCCTATTAGGCTGTCAATCATTGGAGTGGAAGAAATAGTGAAAGCATTGAAATAGCAGTCAATTCACCAAGTATGTTGACTTTTTCATGATAGAACTTGTTTTTATGTGATTTTTTTCACTCTCAAATGTTGATTTGAATGGCCTTGATACTCGTATAGTATTCAGGTAGTTGAAAATGTCCATATAATCAGAGAGCATGAGTAGATATATATAGTGCAAGTTTGGATTTTTCAGTTTCTGATCATGCAATCTATTGGTGAAGGATCACCAAGAATTTTTCTTTGTTTTTTCTTATGCTTTTCTTCAGCTAGTTATTGGTTGGGATCATCATATCTTCATTCCTCATTTCTTAGGGCGCTTGCTTTTGCTTACCCTTTAAGGGACCTTCATTCTTGATGTGTTGTCTTACTTAATCTGCTGTGCAACTCATCACTCATTCCCAGCCGCACGGATAATGTACATCGTTTCTCGAAATTGGCAAGCACTCAGACAGAAATAAATATCGGTGTGTAGCTCTTTCCCATACTATTACTCATTGGAGATGTCCAATTACATATCACAGTACAGGAATCTTCTTAGGAGGATAAGGAAGCTTCCATTCGACGCTAAAACTATTCGGCATGCTCGAGCCAAACTTAAGGCTCTAGCTGATCAATCTTCGAGAAGATATCAGTCCAAATCTACCAAGCAATATATTGCAGCATTTGATTCTCTACTAGTGGACGAAAAATATGACCACATTCCTAGAATCTTGGATATTATTTATAAAAAATTGGAACCGTCACCAATATGGGTCAAAAACTACAACAAAATGAAGTTTGGTGATATAATAAGTCGAATACCGCAGCACCATCTCATGGAGGAGTTAACCTCAGATGAGAAAACATTGAAAGAATACCACGAGACTCTTGCGAAGAAATATAAGACTGAAGTACCGTGGCCAGAATCATCTTTAAGAGAAATAGATGAAGTTGGTACTCAGATCTTTACGCCCATTACGAAATTTTCTACATTACCTTCCAAAGATAAGCTGGCCCTTTTCGATAGCACAATGCAAAAGTTTATAGAAAACTATGATTTTGTTTACAGGAACCAACTACAATTGACTCATTTAAAGCTACAACCATTGGAAATATTATACCCTATTACTCAATATGGCCAACCATTGCCGCTTAACAGAATAAAAAAGCTTCAAAGGGAGTATTTGGCTAAGACAACTAATATTATATTTGAAACTATTCCTCCAATAAAGAAGGAGTACATTTTCAATTTGTATGATTTCGTGGCATCAGAGAACAGCGAGGTGAACCCCTTCTTTTTCACGGCATTGCAAAGGAAAAGGGATAAAACAAAGGGGACTCAGTCTCCGTTGAGAAAGAAGTATGAATCACAAAGAAATACACTACCCAGTCAGAATTCTATAAAAAAAATCGTGAGGGAATATATACTTGGACAGTATTATTGGGATAGTAACTCAGAAAAATATAAGCTTTCTCCAATGAGAGAGTTTTATGAGACAAATCACGCTAAGATTGAAGGTATTGAGTATCCAAAAGGTTCGAATTTAAAGTCATGAGGGAGGAATTTGATTTTTATGGCATTTTGATGTATTCTATTAATCTATTTGGTTATACATATGGTTTATTATTCGTTACTAATTATTTTATAGTTTTGTTTGTTCTCATCTAACAAGCATCCAATTCTTTCATTGATAGACACATAAGAAGGGATAAACTCGTTAGAGTTAAAAATCCTGCTCTTCAAGGGCACTAGATCAGTAGCTGAAACAGACCAGCTGTTCATTGCAATTTCCAGGGTAAATAATGTGGACAAACTAATTGAGCTAAGTGTATGCGTGCCAGTCATTTTAGATAGTACAACAATTTCATCGCTAGCCAATATGTCCACCTTCACTAACGAGACACTAGCTTCGAATTCAATTGAAAGATCTTTTAACGTAGTTTCAGGATTGGTTGCCTCGAATTGAATTATTTTCAATATGTTTGGCCCAGATATGCATGATATGTACCCAAATTCTTGAATGATTTTTAAGGTACTTCTTTCTTCGTCGTTAATAGACAAAGCAAACTGGGATGAGAAGGTAATATGAGACTTCATAATGTTGCGGACTTCAACTAGAAATTCTTCGTTGAGCTTATTCTGGAATGATTTAAATTGCTCAAATAAAGATTCATGTGAAGGAGCTGGCCCGATGATGCATTCATAATCCTTGTTCAATTGTACATACTTCAAGATCTTACTCAGGAATAAGTAATTGTCAATATATTTCATAATGTCACTATTCTTATATCCATTCAATACTAGGAACTTATCATTCATATTCTCCTCTTCAATGATATCATCCTCTTTAATCAATCTCTCGACAATCACTCTTGTAATCCAGTCTATGAAGTAATTAAAAAGTTTCTGTTCTTCGTTTATTTCCCAGATGAATTTGTAAATATTTTTCATTAGCTCCCCGGCTAGTGTGATAGCACTTGAAAGTGTGTCAGTGGACAAGCCTAGGTCATTTTTCTCAGATTTATTTTCACTGTCCAACCACTTACTTAATCCCTGAAGTCTAGTTAGCACAACCACTAGTCTTTCTAATGCTGACATTAACTGGCTGAAACAAACCTTTCTTATCAGGTCATATGCTGTATTCCCCAATGAATGTAACCTTTTTATTCCTCTTTCACCAAACTGATTTAGCCAAAAATCCTTTTGATTTGATTCAATCAAGTTTGTGACAAGGATATCATAAAGCAGAAAGCTCATTTTTTCATTTGCTTCTTGAGTAGTTGGGAAATCAACAGCCAGTGCCAGTCCCTCATACAATGCATCCTTATAATTTGAAAAATAACGGTCAAGACTATCCAAAAAAGGACTCAAATCGTTATTTAGAAATGTGGCAAATACTTCCTCTATATATCCAAGTAATGAGAGTATTCGGGAACATTGCAGCGTGACTTCTGTTAAATAAGGCTGAAATTTAGATTCTAGGTTCAACTTCATCTCTATGAGTCCAATCAGATCATCATTGGATTTTACTAAAAAGAACTGTTTGTCCAATGAATAAGTTGCCAATTTTAAGTATTTTTTGATTCCATTCTTGGGTAATTCAATAGAATCTATGGTGAAAAGATTATGAAACGTTACAGATGCAGACTTAAACGCATCCACAATCACTAAGAAGTCGGAACAGGTATTATTCATGTCATCAACCATCACTCTCGAAGTATAAGTTGATTGGGTAATGGAAGCCGGTAATGATGGCAATTGAGTGGCTATATCTATATCAAATATACCGAAAAATCCACCACCTACATGCTTATTGCTTTGCGACATCCCGCCTATGCTTTCGCTCATTCTTTCACTCCAGTTGATTGCTTGGGTTATATTGATCTTACCAGCGACGGTATTCTTGATTTCATGGATTAATTTCCCTGAATTCGAATCGTAAATTTTACAGATTCCATCAATGCCCATTAGTGCAAACGACTGTCCATCTGGTTTCCAGGATATATCTGTAATTATCGATTTGTTGTTTATCGAGTAAACTCGTTCTCCGTTGACTCTAAATATCCATAGTGAAGTTCTATTCATTGATATAGTGAGTAAATCCATTGTTGGACACCAACTTACAATTTTTCCATCTGAAGCACCAACAAACTTATTCTCAGATATTGACAGAAAGGAATTCATGGTACAGCAACTAATAGTGGCTCCAATGTCATGGGTAGATGGTAAATCAAGGGAGGTCGAAGGTTCGTGCTTTCTTTTGAAATCACAAACAAACTGAAAAATAAAAAAAAAATTTAGAAAAAAAAAAAAAAAAAAAAAAATTTTTTTATTATAAAGTACAGCATGTTTCGCAAAACAA